CCGTTGCCGGCGTTTTCATTAACATTTCCCCCTGCAGCATCATTTAGGTATTTTTCTCTTATTCTCCTTCCTTTCAGCTAAGAAATGAAACTTCTATTATTAATTTTTCAAATTTCTATGATTGTTCAAACAGCCGTCACTTTTATTTTTGAAGAATATTTTATTTTAATATAATGATTCATTGAAAAACAAATTGTGTACGTTGTTATTAAAATGTCTTAAATTCCTTTATGATTAGTCATATTCCATTAGAGAAATATGATTTGTCATCTTACCCTTTGTATGCAGCCGAAGTGAAGATAAATAAATTTTAAGTTTTATAATACATTTACATATAATATAACTTTTATCTATTATTAGTATACTAATTTCACCAATATGAGGAATTTTCGCCATGTTACCTAAGTGATTTATATTATTACATTAAAGACAATAAATAATATTGAAAATTTATGTGTGCTTTTGTCAATTAGTAACTCTTTTTTTTTTATCAAATTTGTACAATTTCTTAAAATTTTAAGATTTATAATAAAAAAATTTATATTTTTTATTAAATTAAATTAAAATGTTATGATTTAGTTAAATTTTTTACTACACACCTTGTGTTGTTATTTACTTTATAAATATTATAGTTAACATTAAAACAACTTTACAAAAACATATTGTTTTGATAACTTTAAATTTTTTAAAAATAAAACTTCCATTCAGTAAACAAAAATCATTCATAAAATCTTATGAAATATTAACCTTATTGAACATTTTATGGAAAACTTAAACAATTTTTTATAAATACTGAAGGTTTTTTTTTTGTTAAATTTTCTTATACATTTTAGCTTGGACACGAACATGAGATGGTATTGGTTTTGTGATGATGTGTTTTATGTCTGTCCATGAAAATTCTCAGATCTCACTGAATCCATTTTAAATATCAATACGTTTAAAGAATCAAATTTTAAGTAAGTTGTATCTATTAACACTAAAAATATGAAATAGCCCCTAATTTTTAGAAATTTGAAAAATTTGTAAAAAATTACATTTTTAAAATTGTTTTTCTGCATTTTAAAACTGATATAACTTTTTTTTGAAAATACTGATTGTTATGAAATTTGTATAGAATATATTAGGGACAATAAACTTTCTTTGATATGATTTTAAAATCCTATGAAAAACCTAAGTAGAGAAAAGATTTGAAAATGACCACTCTAGTATGTAAAATTATTTTGTTCAACTTAATTTTTGAGAATAGTCCGCAAAGTCTGTTCATTTCCAACCTATATTAAATTAATAAATTTGAAGTGTACTACATATTAAAATAAAAATTTTTTTAACAATTGTTCTACTATGAAAAATAGGACTTCAATGCAAAAAAAAAAAAATCACAACTTTTTCAAAAAACTTTTAAATTTTGAATAATGTTTATATAAGCAAATATTTAATGAGCACTGAATATTTGAGTAAGAAATTATATATAGATAAATTTTTGTGAAATTTAACAGATTTTGTAATATAATTTCTTCATAAATTTTACTACACTTAATTATCGTATATTATTATCATACTAAATTTAATTGATATAATAAATATTAATTACTGTATTATACTTTATAAATCATAAAACTTTTAATCAAAAGATAATAAAGGAAATAGAAATTGATAAATATTTTATAATATTTAACTTAAGAAAGTAGTACTCATGTTGTATTTCGTTGTACACGACGTTATTTCAATAAAATATTTTTATTATACAAGATAGTTATTTTAACAATAATGAAGTAGATAACAACTTTTAACACATATTTTAGAAGTTATTTATTTTAAATTATAGATTGGAGATGGGCGTATAATAATATGTATTATTAGACACTTTTTGGCCGCACCTTTCCCCCCAGATATAAAAGTATAAATATACTGATTCAAAAGTTGTTTTTTACCAGATATTTCCTTAATTGGATAGTTTTCTATTATATGAAATAGTTATACATGCGATGCCGTTAAAAAATTAATAAAGTTGACATTTTTATAAGGTATAAGGGATGAATTAAAAAAGTAACGAATAATTGTTGAATTGGGAGATATATGGAACTAAAATATATCAAAACTAATTTTCTAAAAAAATGTATTATTTTAAAAGAAATCGAGTGACTATAAAACAAAAAAAACACTGAGTATTTGATAACACATTCTGAAATATTAAATTTTTACAAATTTAAAAATATTTCTTTGAAAACATTAATTAAATATTTAGGAAAAATCAACAGTATTAGATAACTTTTAAATTTAATCTTTATAAAGCAAACAATAATTTCAACGGTTAATAACAGGTAATAATGTTTCTAAATTAAAATTAATTTTCATTATTTAAATTAAATTAACGTTATATTTTTAAACTAAATGAACTTAAATGAATACCACATGGACATCAACGGGGAGTTTTTTTTTTTTTTAATAATATACATAAAAATATATTTGAAATGGGCCATTTTGTGTTATGGAATAGGGTGACTAACAATTCAAACTTCAACTAAAAAAAACTTTTTGTTAGAATAATTGTGACAATCAAGGCTTTAATTTTAAGGCAAACAATAACAGCATCAAAGATAACTAATATACCCCTTGTCATCTGAAACAATTTTGAAGCACTACAGTACTCAATTAATATAATTTCAGACGTTTTATTTTTACTACACATATTTAAAAAAATTAAATAAACATTTTTTTTATCGAATTATTGTAGGTCCTTGATTATTTATAAACGAACTTAAATGAAAAGTTGGAAGCTTTAGTTATAAAATAAACTATAACAAACCGAGGGGCTAATCAGGAAAATTTCGATTTTTTAACCACCCCTGAAATTATTATTATATTGTAGCGTATGTATAGTCAGAAATTAAATAAATGATACTCGACGTTATTTAATGTGTAAATATGTAATATTAGCGTATAAAAAATTTTTATACACTAAGTTTTAGAACTATTAAAACCTAAAATTTAAAATGAGTTCTAAGATTCTGCAAAAAAAAAAAATTGTATAGTTGGCTAAAAATATATATAAAAAAAAGTCAATATGTTTAATGTCACACACATTAATACAGTGAATAATGTTATAATAATAATACTAGTATAATGTAAATAGAGATATTTATCATTAAAAGTAATATATTTTCAAAATAATTTATTTAGTTTATCTATGATGATTTTTAAATTATGCATTAATTTCAAAAAAATATACGAAAAGTAGAAAGATTGAATATTATTACTAAAATTTACAAAGCACATGGTTTTGAATTATTTATAAGAAGTTTATATCCTATAAACTTCACTTTGGCAAAAACAATTATGCTGTACATTTTATTAAATAATACAAATATATAATGTGTATATTGTATTTCATTTCAAAGGAAATAAATTATCTTTATAGTATTTTTAGTTGTTAAATATTTTTCTGAACGTTTCAGTTAAACAAAAAAAATCTGTTCCTCGTATTTCTAAAAAAACAACCATGCCTAATTTTTGATTTAACATTTAAGATACTAAAAAATTATTTCTATAATTTTTAACCAAACTAAATTAGTTAAAGTTAACTATGTATATTAACTTATAGAATATTAATATTCTACTAGAAAAATCATTCATATATTTACGATAAAAAATTTTACCGAAGTATCTTCTTTAAATTTTAATAAAATTTTATACCCTACCTCCAATAGCAATTATATCTCTGCATTTGTTTATAATTACTTTATGTTACTAACATTAATTAATAAAAACTTACGTTATAAATTAATTAATAAAATACAGTCTACATTTATTTTTGTTTAATCATTCTTCAAGCTTACTATGTTTCTTATTGTTTAAGAAACACAAATATTGATTTTTCGGAAAAATTAAATACATTTTAAATTATGAGTAAATAAAAAAGGAATGAATCAACTTATTCGAATAATTAAGACAAGAGGATTTCCTCTAGATGAAAATTCCCTGTTTGATAAATAATAATCAATGAACCCTTCAAGAGTAGTTTATAAGATTATTAAAAGAGACGAGGGAAATATATTTTTTTACCAACTTTCAAAAATAATTATGTTAATATATAAAATGAGACAGGGTGCACGCAGGAGGGTTCTTCATTCTATATATCTATACATTTTTTTGAGCTCATTAAAGTTTCTATATTTACCCCAACTTTATACTAACGTCTGAAATTAAAAGAAAAGAGCAGAGGGGAAAAATACTTCTTACACCCTATCATTCGCATTAGTATTCAACCAATAGAAAACTCAGTCTCCCTGGGCGGTTGTATTTATCGAAATTGCCTTTGAAAGTCTCCTTTAAAAGTACTGTATTCAATTTTATCATTTGCCAAATAAAGAATTCGTCATGATAATTTACTCTTTGAAAAATAATAAATACAGAAAATTATTTGTAATTCTGTGTAGAAATTTATAGAATGTTGTCAAATCTTATTTATTACTAGATCGTTTGTGTAATAATTATAATTTGAAAAAATTTGCATAATTTCTAAATATTCATCTAGTTGTCTTTAATATGCTATTTCCAAGGACTACAAATATGCACTGAAAACTTAACAAAATTCTAATCCCATATTCTGAAGTTTTCTTTTGGAAATAAGTTTGTACTTATTTTTAAATAGAAATGTGAGAGTTAGTATTTATTAACAGTAGTCATTATATAGTGTGCATTTCATAGACCTTTTAACTGGTAGGTTAAGAAGCCTATCTTTAAATAATTGAAAGTTCGAAAATAGAATACACCAAGTATTTGAATAATTAAAGTATAAAAATAACTTTTAAAGAAGAGAAACAAAGAATTTCTTAATTCCTAAGAAATTGTGTTTGGATGTATACAGTTTTTGAAATCGCAAAACTATATGAATAATACGAAACAAAAAAAATGTCAATTGCATATTTTGGAAAAACAAATTGTATCGTAAAATAAATTTAATAAACTAGTAATTTCACAAACCTAATTTTAATACTTACGACGACATTGACAGCCAAGTATGTATTTTTCCATTTAATATCACTACCCCCGAACAATTTTTTTTAAAAATTATCATTCACAAAAAAAGAACTCATGAGATCTGCTCGCTAAATGGTTCAAGTTTCTAATACTCGGATTCTAATAATAAAGCAGTCCTTGTACGAAAAAAAGCTTCCACTATCTTTGGTAGTCAGATAACCACTGGATGATTTGATTGAAAAAATGGACTATGCAACAATTATGGAAAATAAGCACGAGACAAAAAACACTAATAGCAGTTGCATGTGTGAACGACGAATTGCGTTTGACCGACCCCTCTGACGACCGACCCAACCGGTTGTGTCCACGCGCAGTGGTACGCTTACCTGGCCGAACATATTACAATAATAGTTAAACAATAATAAAGGGATTGAACTAGCTCGTACCATGAGGGTTGTGTAATTACGGAAAGAGTGGGCTTTTGTTCTACACGCTCAATACAGGACAACGAAAATGATTAAAAAAAAATTATACCATACAATAGGATCCAGCAGCTATGTTCGCTTGTGTATGGTTGAGGATTAGGGATGCGTTGCGACACATATGAGGATGAAAACTGGTTTACATTTCCTCGGGTGAAAATATTCGGCGTACCCATTTGCAAGCAGACTTGTTCTTTTTGTTTTTATTAAGATTTCAACCACACTTCGTATTCACCCCGCATCCGATACGAGCCTTTGTTCCTCCAATGGACCCGCAAAACAAACCAATTTTTTCGTCAAGCAACTAATTGACACGATTTCACTAACACATAACCAACATGTTAAGTTATGGGCGTGAACACTTGTAAAAAACGAGCGAAAGATGTTTCGGCGAGTAGACCGAATGTAACTAACTCACCACTAGTGAAGGAGGTCGTTAACACCAAAGTATGACCTTAACAACTCATTTAACCAATATAGGCGTTCGTGTGCATTTAAACAAACTTAATGCACATTTTGCTGTAGTTACAGCAAAGATGTAAATCCAAAATAATATTAAGTTACTTAGAAATAAAACATTCAAAGAGTTCATTGTTAGTAATTCAATTGAAATTAAAACTAACTAACTAACTCTCTTGTAAGAGTAAAAATACATATTTTTTATAAATTAACGCTGATAATTTTAGGAGTTTTCAACCAAATATTTTCCCCTGTAAACGTGAATCTAAAAATAAATGATCCTATTGAAATTCATACAAGCTGTTACGTTTCAAACTCTTTACTTGTCTTTAAAATAGGTTTTTTCAAACATGTTTATTATCAATCCTGATTTCATGTCCGTATAAAGTCTAATAAAACTAACTGTCATTTTTATAATATAAGTATTCAGATAATTTTGTACATCTATAAATGTCTAATATTTTTACCTATGAAAAAACTAGCGTAATTCAGTTGTCAACCAACTTCAATAGTGATATTAAATAAAAAACATCAGGATGTATCCATAAGTTATTGATCAAATACAAGACACATTGTTTTATCATAGATAGAAAATATACATTGATTACGCTCTAAACGTACATATCACTATTATATATAAACGTACTAATCGGCGAAGATGAACCATTTAAATTTTAAATATTATAGAACTTTTACATTCAGCATAATTATTATTTATCAATCAAACATTTTCAGATGATTCTATTGAATTTTCATACAAGGTGCATCGTATAAAAATACGAATCCAGTTAGTTTAGATATAGTCTTAATACTATTTGAATATATTGTCGCGTACTTCGATAACCAGCAAATCTATAACGATGATCATAATTGTTTAGCTTTACATATAATAGTTGTGTGTTAAAAGTTTTTAAATGAAAAAACCTACAATTTTAACAGCCGAAAACACTATTTTTTGACATTCTATAGAAATACTTATCGCAACAACTACTCTTTGTATTGTCTAATGGACCTTTATTGGATTTGCGCTGGGTGGAGTCTACAATGATTATGTCGCTTGTCCCCTTTTTACCGGAAATATGGCGGAGATCTACATCGGCGACGTTAAGGGTTGCTTTATCCATGATTACTTTTTTAACAATTAAAAACGAAGTTATACATTTTTCATAGTACGTTAAATTGTTGAGTTTTTCATTAACAAGTTCTAAGGGTACAAAAAAGAAAAACCTATAAATTTGTTCAAAAAAGATAATATTCAGACTGATAAAAAAATAAATACGGGTTGACGTATCTTTGAAAAAATACGGTCTTGAGAGACCTAAGAAAAACTAGTACCAGACACAAAAAAATATTTTTTTTTATTCGATGATGACAAAAAGAATAGGGTTGGCATTTGATAAAAAAAAATTGATGACAATTTAAGACATTAGGTATAACATTATAAATTTAATATTTCTCGTAGAAAAGCTCAACAAAGAATCATTATTATTGCAATAAAAAGTAATAATGAGTTCTTATGTTTTCAAAAATATTTAGTGATGCATAGTTAAGGGAATCACTCTGTATTTCAAAAAACGAAAAAAAAATGAATTAACATTTTCTTATTTAATTGCATTCATCTTATTAATTCCTATTTGTATATAGCCGTGGCCGTGTCAATAAATGTTACAGCGAAAACTTCAGAAGTTCAGAGATAGAGACACTACAATTAACAAATTGAAATATATCTCATATCCTAAAATATTTTTTGTGACTAAACTGATATTAATTTTTTAAATCAATGTTATAATAACAGTAATAATAAAACGAATTGTGTATTTTTTCTCTAGGAATTACATTCAATAACTCATTAAGTATTAGCTGATTGTACTTTATTTTCTATAAAAAAAATAGTGTTATGAAATCAACATAAAAAAAATCTACCATTTAAACAGGTGTTTTTAAATTTAATAAAATTGAAATTCTTATTTCCTTTCAAAAATGAGGCTCTAAGAATACATAATTTAATCAACCATATTAATTGAAACTAAACTAATTTCAAGGTTGCTCTAAGTTTTTATTATGAAGATAAAAATTACAATATAATTTTAAAAATATTATTTTTTGTAACCCTCTTTGCTACTCTCCTTACACAATATATTACCATATAAATGTTAAAAAACAAAGAGTGCTAATTGAAGATCATTACTTTTATTAAGAAATCTGATTGTAAAGTTAAAACATCTACACTGGAAGAAATGATTTGTAATTGAATTCTATTCAATATATTAGATAATTAAATTTTCTAGAAAATAACTTCTTTAAATGTAAATTAATAAATAATAAAATTTATGTAGAAGAAAATATCTAAGAATTAAAATGAATAAATGTCATCTAGTATAACATTAAACAAAACCCAGCCACAAATTTTAAGTAAAAAAATTATAGTCCGAATTTTACCGAAACAATCAAATTTAATAATAATTAGAGCTGTGGAATTCAATATTAATTATCAGCTGATTTAATTGATATCAGTTTTATTAGTATCGGTTTTTTTTTAGTTCGATAATATCGCTGTATAAAAAAACATCCAATAAAGTTTCTGATAGATCTGTTCTTTTTTAATAGTATAGAACTGATAGAAGCACATATAGAGGTGCCAATTGGTTCTTGCACTCACAATATTTTTGCTAATTTCGACTTTAAACTAAAAGAAGGAAAAAAGTCATTTTGTTAGTCGTAAATTATTAAAATTACAGAATTTTTAAACATACACACATATAGTAGTAATAGTACAAAAAATGATAATTATATAATTTAATTATGTTTCATACTGATCTGAGATTCGAAATATTAATGGACAAAAATTGATGACAATTAATTACACCTCATAAATGTACTTTATTTAACTAATTTATAAGCTTTTAGCCCACCAAAAATTTACTGTTGTTCTATTATTTTTCCAGTATTTTTATTGAATTTTTTTAATTTTGTGTAATAATGATATAATAATTAGTTTCTAAAATATGTTATTTAAAATAACCAAAAATTAAAATATTTACTAACAGTTAAAACGATTATATTTTTGCGAAAAAAATATATTATTGGTAGTGGTGTAAGAGGAGACAGAAGGACAAATATTATTAACCATATGCATATGCATATCACAGTTTTATTTTTATAAAGATAAATTTGCCCTTTTTTATTGCTACGGTTAAATTGTAAGATCATGGATGTCATTACCCATAGGCGGAATTACAAATATATTGTCTGATACAACTCTTAATTAATTGTTACTAAAAATTATGGTTTATCCAATCCCACAATTTTTATAAACAAATTTATAGAAATAATGGTAAGTTTAAAATTAATTGTTCTTAAAAAAATGTTTTTAGTATAAAAAACGCTTTCGGTAGTACAAATACAACAGATTATTTAACATAGAAAATTATCAAAAAAAAAAAAAACATTTCTATTTAATTATTTTAAGACTAAATATTAAGATTGAATCAAAGAATGGCGATAAATGTATAACCTAATGCATTGTTTATTTCGAAAAAAAATAATTTAAGTATTTGACATGTATATTTGTAATAATCACAGTAATTTTAATTCCGTAAAAAACAAAAATAGAAAGGTTGTTTTTTTTTTTAATCTTCATGTATTAAAAAATATAATATACAATATAAACATACAACAGATATAAAAGTTAATTCAACTGCTAGTAATCTATCTTAAAATAATGTTATCATATCCGTTACTGACTGCCAAAAATACTCAAATACCATTAAAATTATAAGAAGTACTCTTTACCGAAAAACACTGAAAAAGTCAAATGACTTTTTTTTATCAACACAGGTTTAGCTAATTAATTGTAAATAAAATTCACTGTAACTATTCGTATAACACTCTAAAAAAATCCAACACAGTGGAGACGTGGCATAGTTGGGTCCAGTATAGATTTAATCTGACAGTGGTTAAAATTACTATCATAAAAAACGCTTTGATGCATATCTGTAGATAGTGGTTAATTTAAAAAATAGGTGGATTATTCCAAACGCAATATGATCACCTATTTCCTTATTTATATCCTGATTACAAGTTTTATAATTTATAAGTGTAGTATATGTATAAATATTTATTATAGCAATTAAATATAGTATGAGATTGATATTTAATAATTTAGTATTGTAATTTTTATGGAGAAATTATAAAGCAGATTTTACTTATATGGAAAACGTGTATAAAAGTTGAAGGTCAAAAAGTTATAGAAGTATTTTTTATTAACTTTGATTGATATCCACTTCACCATAAAAACAAAATAAAGTTCTATTTTTTTTATTATTTTACATTTTTTTTTTTCCGTAATTAAGAATATTACATTAGCTTTAATTTAAGATATATGTAAAAGTGTCAGATTTATAATAAAAAATATACAAAATGATAGGTAAATACCTAATGTATCTATAAAAAATTTTTTTTATTGATTTTTAAAAAAATTATGGCAGTTTTAAGAAAAAAATGAGGAAAATTAGCGATTTTTAAATTTGTAAATTTTTTGGAGATTTCCTTCATTTACGGGGAACAAAGAAATTTTTTTCAATTTTTGAGGGTAATGTCTTCGACTAGATACGATTTGTGATTTTTTGACGCATTGTTGAAAGAAATCGGTTCGGTGAGAGCTGAGAAAAAGTGGTAACAGATACAAAAAAAAAAAATATATCATAGTAAAACCAATATCTTCTCAGGTTCGCATCAAAGCTAATAGTATTAACATAATTTTATTACTATTTTTTTTTATTTAGGTCTATATCCCTTAAAGTAAGTAAGTGGTAAAAGACACAAAAAAAAATCTGTGAGTGTTACGAGTACGCACGGATGAAGTGAAACCACGAATTTTGTGAAGGGGTGTATAGTAAATAATATTTACAAAACTTCATATTTTAGAATTTTTTTTTTTTTTGATCGTTAATGCTTCTCCAATTAAAACCCCGAGTATGTGCTTGTTTTTTTTTTTTTTGAGGAATTTATTCCAAATCCATTTCATATATGGTTTTTTTTTATCATTTTATCGGAAATTTCATGGCGGAGCCACTGATAAACATTCATGGTCATTTAGCTATTTATTTTTAAGTGAATATCAAAAAAAGTTATAAACTATACGTTTCTATGTATTATACATGTAACTTTTTGATCTCTTGAAATATGAGAATATATGTCTTGTCTCCCTTCACACGAAGTTCCCCGTAAAATGTAATAATTATCAAAATAAGTCCTTCTAAGACTTATTAGCATAGAAAGAATTATAAATTGATAACACCGGAAACATAAATTATCACCAGTTTTATAATTCAATAGACAAAATTCTGATAATCTTTAATAATTATTAAAACTTCATTTCTAACCACTACATACTAATAATAAACAATTTAGTTTTTCTTTTTTTTTCATTTTTATCCGTTTCTCGATTTGTTTATTTCTTCTAAATTACATGACTTTCTGACCGATTACGTTTATGCGTTTTTTTTGTTATCAAACTAATTCTAGAAGTTAAATTTTACGCTAACCAATTGATTTTTACAATGACTTATGCCGAGACATATAAATAGCATATATTGCCAGCGTCACAGAATTGCATACCAACACATTTTTGATACGAAACACTAGTGACGCTACGCCGAAACATTTTTTTGTTTAAACGGCGATGATACGCTCACTTGGTAACACGCTTTAGTGTTAACTAGTCGGTGTGGTGTTCATTGAGTCCGACGTCCGGAATCAAATCAGTTATGCTTAACTGTTATGCACCTGGTAGCACAATCGTAAATCACCAATATAAATGAGGATAAAATGGTGACGCTACTCAGGGCACCACTTCCTAAACAATAAAATTATCATCATTGACATTACAATCACAATTGTATTGTGATTGTAATGTCACCCTATTATAAGGTATTTCAACAAATTTGTTTAATTATATCCATTTAATTTATTAATATAAATTACTCAATTTTTTCAATTATTTAGTAACAAAATAATTTATATGATTTAATTTATTGCATTATAAATGATTGAATACATTTCATTTTGCTAAATATCTTAATTTACTTACAATCAAAAAATAAAATATATTTTGCAAGTGGGCTTTCCATTGGCCTGCAACTACAACGTGGTTTGCCACTTGCACAACGACTAGGTACGGTGGCAAGTGTCGCCACCACCTAGGCGAGGTGTCACACCTATCAGATATGATCAATACCGATAAGCAATTCGATTTTAATTACATTTATTCTCTTTTGTCGCCTTACCTAGCGGTCAGCGGCAAAATAATGAGTGGTTGACACAGCTGTGTCAGAAAAAGGTTCGTTTGCGCGATAAAATAAATAAGTAGACATAACAAAAAATTATAAACGGTCCACCTTCGAATTTGTGACGTTACATCTTTAAAGCGTTTTTAATGTTGATATAATTATTATCAATAATATAAATGTTTCTAAAAGCACAAATAAGAGGGATGTTTTGACAACTTGACAGCCAACAAAAATTGTACACGTAGGAGGCATCATTATTTATGGGAGGGTGGATATCATTGAATCGCCCATTATTTGAATTTTTATTTATTTATTTTTATCTTACCAAACCATAAATCTAACCTACTATAATTTCTATAGTTTAAGAAAAATAAATTTGTTACACTTAATGTTGTGCTTCATGCTAATGAAATATTGGCTAAATTACAGTATTTTGTTCAGATACTATCTTATAGACAACTATATAACTTAAAGATAACTATTTTTTAAATATAAAAATGCAAGTATTATCTCTTTGATGATTAAAAAAAAAATTTATTCAAATAGATTTCTAAATAATACATTTCACTTAAAAAAAGTTTTAAAATTGTTTATTCTTAGTCATTTCATTAATTATTGAAATGTATTTATACTTGAATAGTAATGTAGATGAAAAATAAAATATTTAAAAAATACATTCAAATTTATTTATATGCATTAAATAGTCAAAAAAATATTCACCTGAATCAAATGTGTCTAACAGAAATTAATTAGAAGTTCATGCGATTTTAGTTTCCTTAAAATACAAATTTTTATATAATTAAACCAATACTTTACTATAAATATAATACTATTTATTTTTCATGGTAAATTTATTAAAATACTTGACACTTGTCTTAATTTTTATGGTAATTATATTCAACATATCTACATGGATATTTTTTATAAGAAAAGGTACAAGTAAGTAGTTAACACTAGTTTTAAGAAGACATAAAAACAAAATATTGTTACCTGTAGACATACGTATCTAACTAAATTAAAATAGAAAAACTACTTACGCAAATGACAGCGGATATTAATTACTTATATTGTTTATTAAAAAACAAAGAAAAGTAAAAATTGACTTTTGTTCATTACTTTTTTTAATAAAACTTTTTGTCAAAATATAACTATTGAAATAGATTTTAGACCTATATAGTTTTAAGAGATTATATATTTTTGTATATAAATGTACAACTTTTATATCTATTAAAAAAAAATTATTACACATGATTACAATTTTATTTTATTTTTAAGTTCATAAAAAATACATTCTTTTATTAATTCATTGAAATTTGAAGGTTTGATTTATAAAAAATGAGGTGGTATTTAATATGATAAGAATTCACATAACCAAAATAAATCTTAAGAGCTGCTATTTTGAACGTCCATAACTTCAGTATCATCATTTTCATTATCTTCAGAGTCTATAAAATTAAAAATCAATTATTTAAAACTAGCAATAAATCATTTTTATAATAATTATTACACATAAAGGTGACACAAAATTATACATTTTACGTTTACAAAAAAATGAGGAGAATATACTTAATAAATAACACTATATAAGGTAAATAAAGAAGCGATGAAAACCCTACAAAAAAATTGTTTTAAGATAAATAGTTACAATAACAAAGCACTAGAAAACGCCAATATTTATCTTGTTACATTATGTATTTAGAAACTATTATTTTTCTTCTTCTTCGCCCTTAGTCCCAACTACTTGGGGTCGTCCACCCTTATCCTAAACTTCCACTTGATACAATCTCCCACATCATCTACGCTCACATCAGCTGTCCTCATATCCCATTCAATAGCATCCCTCCATCTCTTTTTTGTCTTCCTCTACCTCGAAGTGCTTGAGGGTATATCCATGTTTACAGTTGAATTCTGACGTTTCGGACTCATTGCAGAGTCCATCTTCAGAACTGTAAACATGGATATATCCTCAAGGACTTCAAGCAACAAGACAATCCATGAAAGTTTTAACACATTCATTCCTCTACCTCTTCTTCCTTCAACATTTATTTCTATAAATAAATGCTTCTGATTCTTCTCTCCTCATAACATAACCAAATTTTAGAAACCATTAATTAATAAATAAATGTTTACCTCCCATAGCATAGTGATCAAACATATATTCTTTTTGGTATTCTTTCATTAGCTGAGTTGAACGTTCTTCATCTAAAAATAGTCTGTATACTTTTTTTACATCATCTATTGTAACTTCTGTAGCCTTTCGCTTTCTACAAACCAAATTTGCTGTAGTAATCAATTGAATGCCATACCTAAGTGATGTAGATTTGCTAATTTTGGCTAAAATAGCTAATGCATCTTTGGAAATCTCACAATCTTCTTCTTCAGCTCTTTAAATAAAAAAAACATGTTATACAAGTTTTTTTAAAACCAAATTTTATTTTACTAAAATATATCTTTACAAATATTTTACAGATATATTAATTCTATTTCCTTCCATGACTTTTCATAAGAATTTATCAGAGGTTCTATATTGATAAATATGGGATTTGCATTGTAATCTTTCATTTGATTAAAAAACTTTAATTTATATGATGTGCTGAGAAGATGTATTTATTTGTTAAATGCATTTATGTAGAACCATTTTTCTTCTCTCTTTTCTTATACATAAATATTCTTTATTAATTTTACATAATCTTTTCTCTTCTATTACTTTGCATATCTGTACTTAATTCTATGTATAATAATAATTTCACATACTTTATTCATCTGTAGTACAGATCTTAGATACTTTCTAATTATCTAATTTTTTAGATTAACTTTCAACATTGCCTACTCATTTTCATTACATACTTATTTCAATTAGCTTTTTGTACCCTTTTATTTAAGTCAAAATTTTAACATAATGTACCCAATTTTAATCCTACTAACCCTTAAACTATTACTGTTAAATAATTTTCTTTGCCCTTTAAGTTTATTATTCACAAACATTACTCTATTTAATCAATAATATATAATCTGCAAACATTAGGCACCTTAGTACTTCATTATGAAAAGACTCAAAAGCAAACCTTGACAGATTCTTACTTTGTCTTTAATATAAATATATAGGATGATTGGTGTATTATTAACTACTATATTTATTCTAAAAAAATAATGATTTTGAAAAAAAAAAAATTTATTTTTATTATTTAAGAAGTGTTTTATTCTTGATTTTTAAATGATTAAATACTTTTTAGGTTCAACTCTTATCCTTAATATAATAACTTATTTTTTTCAATGGCAACATATATATTTAACTATCTTATGTAATATAAAATTATTCAACTAAGCAAATTACTCGTTGATAATAAAAACTTTTGAACTAGTAGTTAAATATTTTTAAATTTAAGGTGGAAGGATTAGCGCAGTAGAGAAATCTATAATTATAAAAACAACATAACCCATACCTTACCTCTAGTTTACATTTTAAAAATGTTAACAACTTTAAGTAAAAAATACTGGTTCAAAAGGTGTTATCAACTCATCAATTTCTTAGTTTGATCATTTTCAAATATTTAATCTATTAAAATATGTATGTTCCTATTAAAAATAAATAAATTTCCTATATTTATATAGGATAAACCTAAAAAATATTTAACTACTTTAAAATTGAGAAATAAATAACACTAAACAAAGTAAAACATTTTTTTTCTTCAAAATTATTATTATTGAACGAGAAATTTAGTGGTCAACAATAAATCAACTCTCTGTATATGTCATTAAAATCAAAATATCTTTAAGTTAAAATAAACTAAAAAACTTTTGATATTACTAATTAAAAATCAATTATAAAAACACACCTAATTTTTAATATCTGTTCTAGTTCTGATTCTGAATATGGCTGTGTCATTATAATAACCATACGATCAAGCAAATCTAGTGGTACACCGTGAGGTGATTTATAATTAGTTCCCCGAATATTAGTTACTCCTCGATTTGTAGCTGTAATAACAATTGGAGCAATCTCATTTTCAAGAGCTCTATTTAAAAATGAAAAGCACTCAATGTCTAGCATGTGTACCTACAAAAAAAAAACATATCATAAAATTAAATAATCTTGATATATTATGTAGTTTGAAAATAAATTACTTCATCAATAAAAAGAACACCTGCCAACAATTCAGCTTTACCCTCTTCTCGCCATTCACTAACTTTGCAATTTATTTGATCTCTTACTTCAGATTTAATTTCTCCAGTATCACCTATCAATATCATAAGCAACAATTTTTCAAATGAATTTTAATAGTTAATAATAATATAATATAATGTTTTATTTCTTAAATATAAGTTCACCTTTTAATTGATCTATACTAACAATTTATCACCAATTTTTACATAATAATAATTAATGTTAGAAATAATACCTGAGAACAAGGCTAAAAATCCATGAGTTCTAGAATTTATGACATCAATTTCATGCAATGTTACTGTATGTACAACTTCTTTTCGTTTCTGGAGTTCTCCTTCAGGGCACTGTACAAATCTTAAAAAATAGAGAAGTTAATTACAAAACTCTAAATTAAACTATATCAGGCTTCATGGCAAAACTACTTATGTTAATATTTATAATTTTACAAAAAAAATTTAGTTATTGCTGTAGAATTAATGAACTTTTAAAGAATAAACTTTTAACAATATTGAAATTATCAAAATTTAATTAATTTACTAGAATTAATATTTATTTTAAGAATTACATTACTATTTTGGTGACAAAAAAATGACTTCTAAAAAAAAGTTTAGTATATAAATAATATGAAAATATATAGCATACAAATTACCTAGTTTGTGGTCCAGATGCATCATAATCTCTAGATCTGGTGAATGAACGTCCAATTTTATTGACTTTACCACTAGCAACATCAATAGTAACAACATCACCAGCCAAAACCTTAAATGATTGAAAATGTAAAATATATTTAATTATTATTGTTTCACAAAAAATCAATAATAATTAAATCACTTTTTCTTTTAATAAAGCTTCTATCATTTTATTCCCGAGATCGTAAACTGTTTCCATATCTGTTGTTCTCATAGTCAATTTTCCTACTTTAGATCCTGTTCCAGTCACAGGCCTTTCTATTTGGAATTCTACTACTTCACCTTCAATGATTTCACTCTCTTCTCTAAAATATAAGTTTATTTTTAAATAAAATTTAGTATACTATAAAATACAAATAATATATTTACTTTATTCGTACACCTATTGATTTACGGATAGCTTGAGTTAGTGCTTCAGTTTTACTCATTTCTAAACTATAAATTTCTGATCCTGACATACATGTAAATGGAGTATCAGAGCCTAGAGCCTGAGCTAATGCCATGGCAATTGCAGTTTTACCTAAAAAGTTTTAAAAATACTGTAAATGTATAAAACATTAAGAATTAAGATGATTGGTATGACATCATGAAGAAGGTACTAAGTCTCAAAAATTAATTTTCAGGAAAAGGAAAAAAACAATTATATAAACAAATAGACTTATGATAAACATCTATTAGTTCCAACATCATTCCTATTTTAATCTAAAAGTTTTGTTTAGTTTTTTTCATCAGGTTATTAAGATTTATATTTATTACATTTTTTATATAAAACAAAAAAGATGAACATTTGATTATTTTTGGACTTGATACCTTTAATATTTCAATACTTCATTTATAATGAAAATATATTTTATATAGAAAATAAATTTATAAAAGAAAAACATTATAACTCATTGTTTCTTGATTTGTGGAATAGTACTTGATAAAAAAATGTTATGCAAAACTAGTTTAAGAAATACTATTGTATAATATTATATGTAACCAAATAATTTAATTTTGTTCAAGCTAATAACCTTAGAAGTTGAAGCTTAAAAAAAAAAAATGTTAAANTTGAAGCTTAAAAAATAATAAAAAAAAAAAATAATAATAAATGTATCGTGAAAAAATGTATGTTATTTATAAGGCGTCAAAAATCGGAAAGAGTGTCCGCCGCCGTCGCACAGTGGTCTGAAATCGAATTTTAGGCGCTCNATTTAATTAATATAAAAAAAATGGTTTGCTTTTGTATTATTTTTATATAACTTTTAATATATAGGGATGTTCAGTAAGTAAGAAAATGGGTTTCTACTATTCTTATTAATTGTAATAATTGACCTGATTCCTTACTAAAAACTCTATAAAGTATAATTATAACTCCACAATTATATTTCATTTTATATCAAAATTATAATTTTGCAATAATTAGATGATAAAAAAAATAATTTAGATGTATCTTTATCATAAATACAGTGTGATTGATTAATTATACTTCATGCAATATCTGTAAAAGTATAAAATATATTATATTTTTTTTTGAGTAAATTTTCAAAAAAAGTATTTGGTCTTACCATCCCTTTATTCTTTTTAAGGATGATTAACTTCTGAAAAAAAAAAATGATATGTTTTATACTTTCAAAGATATTGTATGAGCATTGTAAATCAATCACCTTGTATTGCAATAATAGTAAATTCTAATATTATGTATATAATGTAACAATTATTATTTAGTTTAATAACTTATAGGTATGTAATAAAAAAATGGTTCAAATGAATACTTTACCTGTTCCAGGTTCACCAGCTAATAAAACAGATCTTCCAGCAATTTTTTCTTCTTTGATCATATCTAAAACAACACCCATAGCCTTACGGGCTTTTAGTTGACCAACTAATCCTTGTGAAACCTATAAAAATTACCAATTGAAAAACGAAAATTTTAACAACTATATATTGACTCAGACATTTCTTGGTTCCCTATTATCGTCTAGCCCAAGACCACGAATATGAGAATGTGCCCCAATCCTTTCTACACGAGAAATTTCTCGCACTTCCTGTACTTTAGCTATAGCAGCAGCCTGCAAAAAATAAGTTCAATAAATATACAATAATTTTATACAGTATATTAATTAATTAATACAAGACATTACATTTTCATTGTATGAAATTAATTTTGTTAACTTATTTTATATATTAATAAAATAATTATTACTTACAGACATTTTTGCAGGATTTATATTCAATCAAAATTATATTATGTCCAACACAAAAATTTTTGAACGGCAATTGTACAATATAATGACATAATTTGAAGCAACTAAATACACACAGATTATTGATCAATCAAGATCACATTCAACTTTGAAAGGCGGAATTGGAGTCAGTTATGATGATTGTTTACAGTATTATGAACATAACCAAAATTTCACATGGAGGATTCTGTTGAAGTTCGAAACAGTTATGGCAGATACGTTATCAGAAATTTTATGATAGTCAATATAATTTGTATATTTTATTATCATATAAAAAGTATTTCAAAAAAATTGTAAATAATTAGAATTAAAGTTTTTTTTTAATTAAAACTATCAGATTGTAGTTAAAGGTTTACATTAATACCAATAACTTTATTTTATCAGATAACTAAAATTAAGACTGAATATTAACATGTCATTCGAACAGACTGCCTGTGATGGTAAATAATCTTCGATACAAAAGTTATTATTAATTTACTAATCCTTTAACTCAGCTTAAATAACAATTTATTATTATTTTTAAAGAATTGTAAAAATATTTTATACTTTTATTAAAAAAAAATTTTTTTTTTTAATATTAAGTAATAAATATATTAATTTCTTTTCATTATGTTAAGTTATATTATTAATAAAGACAAATTTTCTTGTTTAAAATTGTAAAAAACACCAAAAATCAACATAAATTATATAACTATTTATTTTATAGAAAGATATTAAAATATATATTCTTGTCAATAAAATTTTAAAATTAATTACTAATTTTAATTAATTGAATTATATCAATAGTTATTAGCAATAATTATTAGTCTTATTAAAAAGAACTTTTTTTTTTATTATATGAATTTTAGTACGATTAATTTGAAAGGTTACTGCTGTTTATTAACTGTAACATTGTATACATTTTTCATAGATCTTAAAGCTTTTGAGAGAAGATTAACTGAAGTAATAGCTTCTATTAAACCAATAACTAACCGATGGCGAAGTAAGAGACATTTTGTTACAATTTTAATTATTTCAATAGTACGAATATTTTTGTTTCATTTGCAGCCATTTTAGCCTTTTCAACCATATGTGCATCTATAGGAGCTTATTACTGGCTTACAGATCCCCAAACAGCAAAAGTATCTTTTGTTCAATCTTTATACAATCATTTATTATTTACCATGTCATCAGTTATGCTAAGTAAGAACATTTAATATTCAAAAAATTGTTCATCGATATAGTAATTTATCTTATATTTTTATTTTTAGTGATTTTACTTTTAACTGGAATTCACAAAAAAGTAATAGCTACAACTATAGTTACATCTAGAGCTAGACAAGTTCTTGCTGATTTCAATATGTCTTGTGATGATTCTGGTAAATTAATACTACGACCACGACCACAACAAAATACTTAAAAATGTGTTTTTAATAATTTTTTTTTTTGTATTATTTATTTCTGTTTATCTCATTTAAACAACTATCTAAAATATTGATTTTTTTTTTGGAACTGTATAGTATAAATGTATTACATAATGAAATTACTTATTCATCATTGTACTATTTGATATTCCATTCTACCCAAAATGACGTTTAGAAAATACTTATTTCGTTCATTGGTTTATAAATCAATTTTATCACAAAATCTCTCAAATTTTTTTATAAAAATTTACGAAGAAAGCAAAAAATTTACTAAAGTATAACATAATAAAAAGGTCTTTTTATATAATAAATGGGTTTTTGTAATACTTATCTGGATAAAATAATTCAGATTTTACATCGGAAAAAATATTATAATGAACAAATACATATTAAATCCAAGAGTCTTAGGCCTTAGACCTCAAATTTTTTTGTTAAATTGTCGCATAAAATAGATATCTAAAATGAAGTCTAAGATGTAAGCAACTCATTTAAATGTTGAAACTCAAATCTGATAATGACTATCATTAACTAGGATTTAACAAGAAATTACACATTTTATTGTCACGGTAACAATATGAAAACTAACATAAATTAAACGAGATCAAAGCTATAATTTTTATTTCCTGTTTTACAAATTAACTTTTCAACTCTTAACATGCTACAGACATCAAATTCAAAAACTAGTGATTTTAATTTAGTTTGTAAACTACTAGATTGATCCCCTAAACACCATGCTACACTTAAATGAAATTTTGGATTCTGTAAAAAAACTATTGTTAGTCATACATATATTTTAAATAAAAAGTTATATATTTACTTTATAATAAATTGGTAAATCATAACCTAATAAAACTTTATCAAGTTGTTGTACACATTGTAATAACAAATCTTGAGGTTGAGCTATAAAACCAACAAATGTTCGACTACAGTTATCATTACAAAATACTTCCAATTTACCTAAAGAAATAGTAAATCTAAAAAATAAAAAAAAAATTCTTATCATTTAATAGGAGGAAAATTATTCTGCTGTAATTTTTCTTTAAAACTAGTGTACTATATGGCTACCTTGAAAACTTCAAAAAAATATAAACAAGAAATTATATTTTATGAAATAGAAAAAATTTTAATAATAAATTTTCAATGTAGTTCATACTAATAAAATAGGGTAAAAAAATTGTTATATTTTAATTAGATTAAAAGTTGTAAATGTATTATTTAAAGTTGTTTCATATCTATATAACATTTTTCTTTTTTTTAAATTTCCAAATGTAGGATAATGTGTGAAATTAATTAGATAGGAATATAGTTTTTAACTATTTTTTAAACAAAGGGTAGGGTTAGGTAATTAATTAAAATAGCTTTTTTTTTTTAATTAGTCAAATTTTTTATCAAAATTAACATTTTTCTTTAACTGCGAAAGGCACTATATCTAATTTAAAAATGGTGCCAGTAAAAAAGGAGCCAATAAATGTGCAATCTGAATAATATGAAATAATGAAGATGTCTGTATTTTAAGATTATTTTATTAAGATAACTGTATTTTTTGAAAATTTGTTAAAAACTATTAAAAAACATATTTAATTTAAACAAATTCTAATGATAGAATTTGAAATTTTTAAATCTAGTGCGACAAATCCAACTATAATAACAGAATAAATATACTAATTAAAACCTAAATGTTTTCCTTAACTGGTACTAATAATACATTTAATTACTTTTCAATAGATTTAAGATTTGACTTAATATCATTTATAAATTGATTAATCCAATGGAACTGTAAAATAATGGTACGCGTAAGACTAACATGTGGGTTACCAATAATTTCTAAACCACATTCACTTAACTTTTCTTGGACAATTTCTACTAATTCCATTTCTGGACCTAAAAATAATACAGCATTAAATAATATTATAAAATATTTTATTTCTAAATAAACTTACAAGGTATATAAATATAAGTAGCCCAATTACCACGTTCATGTTCAAACAATCTAGTACGTCCTTGATGTGCAGTTGGATTATTTGTTGGTTTTGGATGAAACTGTTGGCCATCAAACATTGAAATAATAGTATTAGGGATAGGTAATTTGGCTTGAACATTGCTAAAATATTTAGGAAAATTATGAACTTCAATATGTTGAATATTATAATATACAATGCATTAATTACTCTTGCTCATCATCACTTTCTCCATAATTTTGAATTAAATCCATAATACGACATTCAAGATTTGGTTAAAGTAAAAATCAAATTCATGTCGCCATAAAAAAATTTATTATTTTTCATGGAATTCTTAAATATAAATTCCTGAAATCATAGGGTTTACTATTATTAAGTTAATTTCAATGGAAACTGTTTGAATAATAACAACTATACTGATAATAAAAGTTGATAAAAACAAGTGGTTCTTAAAATTGAAATATAATTTTATTTAAAAAATGCAAAGATACACTATTTTTAATTTAGTTAATAACTTATTTCTTGACATCAAAAATATATTTCTAGCAAATCAAGTCTGAATAAATGTTCAGCAGTTCTAAGAGAAATTTTTTATAGAGACATTTTATTATATCAAATATCATGAGGTGTATTTTTTTTAGTATAGGAGATTTGTTTAGTCTAAACAAATTTTATAATGCTTGAAGTGGATTTAAATATAGATAAATCCTTAATCACTTCAAGCAACAAGACAATCCATGAAAGCTTTAACACATTCATAAATTTTATATTATTATTATTAGATAATAATAAATTGCTGATTAGAGAGTAATTACTTTAATGGATCCTCAATATATCTGCACCATTATCAGAGGGAAAAATTTTCAAGCTTAATATAGGGTACGTTATAATTCAAATCCTTAATATTTTTTGAGCTCGTATTGGATTTGACATAGACATACAGTATGCTTGAGTGATTAATTATTAAAATAATTGGTTTTTTATACAAACTATGCTAGCATGTACAAAATAGATTAGATATTATAAATAGATGAGTATTTATTTCCTGATGTTCGCTATATTATTCATAGCGAAATTATTAAAATTAATTACATGTTAAAAAAGTTTAGAGAGTAATGTAAAAATATATTGAAATGAACCTTACATTTCCCAGAGTAAATTATTTCACTACTTTATACTTTTAACGTTAAGTTAATTATCTTAACATAAATGACGGATCGGGGGGTTTTACTTGACAATCGTATAATATCAATTCCAAACAGTAACTTTATTATACATATATATATATATATATAAACTAATAAATATTCAATATATCAATATATTAACATTAGAATAATAATAGTAAAAAAAAACAAACAAAAACGAAACATCACCCAGCCATCAGCTATCCATAGTGCAATTAACGTTGAATCGACTGCCAAAACGCTTCCCAAAGTAATTGTTCCTTTTGCGTATGGAATGTCAACCTCCGCTGCTCTATTTCCGTTGAGCACTCGAGTAATAGCACGTAACTGGTAATATTAAGTGTTGGTTGTCACCTAAACAGGCCAATACCAACCAAAAAACAATGAAACAAATTAAAAACACGCCAGCTCACTGGCCACGAGTCATCAGACTCAAGAGATGCGGTACGACTTCAATCGCGTACACCGACGTAGTGCCCGCAAGGTGCCGGAAGTGCCGGACACGATTGTCGTCATTACATGGAGAGGGGTAATGCGATTTCTAGCTATTTGGAACTGGACCGGCTACACACATAACTTTTGAACATCCTCCCCCTTGGAAGACGACCACGTCTTACAATTGAAGCTGAGATAATTGATCTATGAAAGGTACAGAGCATTACAGAGCTTTACAGAGCTTGATGGCATGAGTGGACAACTCATAACAGATAACAACAACAATATAAAATATAAAAGAATCTGTATAACAAACACAATTAATACTGATAACAAATGTATAAAACGGTGACAATGGTATAAATATAAAAAAAAAAATAAATAAATACATGGCAATATATATAACCACCAATAAACTTTGTTCATATTAGATCAATAACGTAAATACAACAAAAAAAAATGTAAACAAATCTATATTTTAAGATAAAACATTTTTTTTTTTTTAAATTTAATTACAAGTGCAGGAAGCCACCGATCACATCCTTTATTGTAATAAAACACCTAACTAATTAATATATATTTACTCTCCCCCGTGATTTTTCCCTTTTTTTTTTTTTTTTTTTTTAATGTACATGATGCAATACCTAAACATAACGTATAAATATACTTAAATAAATAAATATGTTAATAATTAATACAATATATATAATAATACAGAATAGAAAAAAAAAAAATTTTATTTACGAAGTAGGTAACTTGACTATTTTAACTACAGGCCGCATTAACGTTCCATCGCTAGTACGAAGACGTACAACACGGACCACCCCATCCGCTCCTGGAATAACTTCTTGTACTCTAGCAGTACGCCATTTTAAGGGTGGTAACTGCGCATCCTTGATAACGACTACGTCATTGACATTGATGTTAGGCGCAGTTTTTGTCCAGCGGTTGCGGGTTTGCAGAGTGTGTAAGTAATCATCTCGCCAGCGCCGCCAGAATGACTGGGAAATTTGATTAATTAGTTTCCATCTGCTAATAATGGGTCGCTCCGTTTCCGGTATATCATTTTCTGGGAGAGAAAGCAGTGGGCGGCCAATTAAAAAATGTCCTGGCGTGAGGCAGTCACTTTCAGCAGGATCAGAAGAAAGAGGAACTAAGGGACGCGAATTCAGAATAGCCTCCACTCGGCATAATACAGTACAAAATTCCTCCAGGGTTAAAACTTGATTTTCAATAATTCGTATCATTATAGATTTTGCGGAGCGGACCGCGGCTTCCCATAGGCCCCCAAAATGAGGTGCGCTTGGCGGGTTGAAGTGCCAGTTACATTGTAGACTGGCGATTAATTTATTTTGACAATCATGCTTGCTAAGTAGATTACGAAAGTAGTTAGAACTTCCAACAAAGTTTGTTCCACAATCAGAATATAAATCAGTAGACAAACCCCGACGGGCCACAAACCGATTGACACGGCCACGACGTTGTCACACGTTGACACCCCGCGGTCGTATCAGCTCCTTCTCAGCCACCGCTTGACTGTAAACCGGACCGTTACACACACGCGTTATCGTCGTGGTGTAAAGTCCAACAAATGCCTAGCGTCGAATACCCCGCCGCAATAATACGTGAAGTCAGTTATCTTTGTGACACCACAAAACGTACCGTCGTCCTTTGCTTCATATTGTGAAATCTTCTGTATTAATATTATTTTTGGTTTCGTACATCTTTACAATATTATTCTAATAAACGGCTCGACGCCTTTCAAAATAACCCCGAACTGTGTCGTCTACGTTATTTTAGTTTCGTGTGCACGGCACTTGAGTATATACTCGTATCACGATGTAAAGCCGCCAAAAAGGCTTCTGTGGATAGATCCGACACATATTCCAGATGTATTAGCTTTTACTGTAAAACAAATAAATACTGCCACGTATACTTTGTACTCCCTCGCCTTTCTTAATCTATGTTCCTTCATGATCATAGGTCCCGCAAAATCCACACCAACTCGGGAGAAAACATGACACAACGATGACATATATTTATCCACCAGAATAATTATATTTTTTTTACATTTTAAACAATTTAAAACTTACCCTAGCGTTAACACGTCTTTAACGTTTAAACATTTTTGTACTAACAAATGGCTGAATTAAACAGCTGTTTTTTTTTAATGATAAATATGCCTAGTGATTAATAGTGAAAATAAATATTTACTTTGCATAATTTCACCATAATTATTTGAACGCGTATAACCCATGACGCATATTGTAAAGGTTTTTTTGTGATTTCCTCATTAACTAACTCATTAATAAAATATTTTATAGTATTATTTATTAATCTTGTATATTAGATTAATAAATATTATATATATTTATGTAATTTTTATTCGACATTTTGAGAACAATTTAAAGGTTGGAAGACGAGATCTACTCACAAAATAGTGAGTAGATTTTAGTAATATTATGCGTATACAAATTAAAGTACGTATCATTACGTCTTTAGTGTTTTGATTATTAATGAAATACAATAAAAACACTGATTTTATGTTGACAGAATATTTATTTTATATACACTTAATATATTGACATGGGCTTGGTCTGGCTTGAAGGTAAAAACGTATGTTTCGGCGTATGGGGTCTTGGGTTCGATCCCCAAAGTGCCCACGAGATGTTTTTTGCGATTTTATCATTGGTGGTGTATGATCTCTGGTGTAAACTAATCATAATACCCATCATTGATCTAGCCAAGAATCATCTTTGACTCTCTAACACACAAGAGAGGGCTATCACCCTTAGTAGCATGTTACATATAATGCACTGTGTTACTACTGTTATAACTGTAAAATGTTAATTATTAACTGCGGCATTGTCAATCCACTATATATAGTATTATGGACATACTAAAAATTTGATTTTAGAATGTTTAATCAGGACAAAAATCCTTATCAAATCAACTCTTATATAAAAAGCAATAATTGGAGAATACCAAACTGGTTTTATGTTAGGGAAATTAACAATAGATCAAATACACTTAGTAAAACAAGTTGTTGAGAAGAGTCACGAATTCGATAAAGATATACGTCTACTGTTTATTGATTTCAAAAGCAATGTATAACTCAAACAACAGAGAAAAATTATGGGAAGTCATGGGCCAGTTAGGAATACCAGCTAAGTTAACCAGATTAATAAAAGCGTGCATATATAATTCAAAAAATAAAATTAGTTTTGGTGGAGAATTATCTGAGGAGTTTCATGTAATAACTGGTCTCAAACAAGGAAATGCTTTATCAACTGCACTGTTCAACATCGCCATAGAATCAGTTATGAGGGTAGTAATGTTCCAAGCCAAGGGTATAGAAATAAAAGATAATTAACATCTAACAGCAGTTGCTTACGCGATATAGTCTTATTAGCCGAAACAGATAACGATCTAAAAAATACAGCAGATATCTTGCTGAAAGAGAGGAAAAAAATTCTTCTTCTTCTTTTTCCTCGAATAAAATTAAAGAAGACCTGAAGATGCTGGGATTAAGAATGCAGAAGAAAAGGCAAAAGATAGAGAATAATGAATCAATATATTGTTGCGGCAATTGGCCTTAAAGGCCTGTAAAAAGCCAAAGAAGAAGAAGAAAAGAATATGTTCTACATTATGTAACACGAATCTTTATTTATAAATACAGTATAAATTTGTTTTATAATCATAATATACTTATAAATACAAACATAACAATGAAAAACAAATTTTTATTAACATTATTTTTGAAAATAAAATCTTTAAGCCTGGTTTTTAATATTGTAGCATTTTTTTTTCAAACAGAGACGATTTAATCAAGAGTTTCAGGCTGTAGTTGCATAATATTATAACAACAGCAATTGTTAAAGTTATCCTTCTGTGTCATTAATTTCAAAAATATGAGATTCTTTTTTTGATGAAGGGTTCGGCATTGAGATGATTAACTCTGGATTGTAATGAAGTACAGTTGTTTAATCTACTACGCCTATTGGATGTATTGTCAGTGTTCAAGAATAGATCTATAACCTTCAATGAACTTTTCCCTAAAAATTAAAATATTATTTTTTAACTTTGTTTTATTTATGAATAACATCATAAAAATAATTGAATTATTACCATTTTTTTTATCTTTTGAAACTTTGATTCTTGTGGTTATTCTAGACACAAATTTCTTGTTTGTATTGTTCTGATTTGATGATGCCATAGAGGTGTCCATATTGTAAACGCCAGCTGTTAAATAACTTCTATGTTCTGACTGACCATTAAAAACTTTACTACTTGGAATTTTAACAGGGATCGTAGACATGAATTTCGCTTTATTCTATGGAAGCTCAGCTTTCGCTTTGACATAACGTGAAGAACACGACGAAGTAACCGAACTTGTAATGTTTTTGGCATTTGAATAGAATTTATAGGAGAGTAAGTTCATAGCGATTTGATCTTTTATGGCCTCTAATTGACTTATAGGCAACAAAGACTCGTCATTTTTATCATTATCCAAGACAGAGTTTTTTTTTAGATTCTTCTTGAGTTGCCACCGAGGGATTAGTTTTACGTATGGTCCGTATCATATCGGGTTCCTTAACTAGTAAAAAAATTAATTATTTTTTTTTAAGTAATATATTTGGTACTATTTTCATCGTTAGACAAGAACATCACACTAACATTTATGTACATTGTCGTCATTAGTTAATATTTTGTGTTTGTGTATGGTCTTAGTAGATGGTCATAATGTTTAAGATTAAATAAACATATATTTATACATATTTTTGTATTATTATTAACTGATTATTCAAAACCATTCAAAAAAAAATTATTTTTTGTTTTTTTTTACGGACAGCCTAGGAAACACATACTCTTTAAGTCCCTTGGCAAAATAAAACTATTTCTATAAAAATAGTTGAAAACAATAGGACGCTCATCATAAGTTCATGCAAGATGATTTTTCATTTTTCTATAAAGTTTTGATTTAATGACAGTACTTTTCCCATAATAGTGTCTAAATTATTCTATATTTATTCATTTAAATATATTTTAATGTTAAAAAAGTTAAGAAATAGAGGAAGACTAAAAATTAGATGGAGAGATGTTATTGAATGCGATATGAGGACGACTGATGTGTGTTATGCGATAAGAAAATTCCAATGGGATTGAAAAGTAAGTTCTACACAACTGTAGCGAGATCAGCTATAATGTATGGCTCAGAGTGTTGGGCGGTTGACAAGAAAAGCATAGAATGGGTGAGCAGAAATGAGAATGTTTGATGGATGATGGGAGTGACTAGAAAAAATAGGATAAGGAACGAACATATAAGAGGGAGTTTATGTGTAGCTTCAATCGTGGATAAGATGAGAGAAAATAAACTTGGATGATTATTGATGCGATAGAGGACAACCACTCTACGCACACATCGTGCGATGTGGGAGATCGTGTCAAGTGGAAGTTTAGAATAAGGGTGGCCGACCCCAAGTAGTTGGGATAAAGGCGAGGAAAATTAAGAAGAAGAATATATTTAAATGTAATACACACCTGACATGTAGTAGTGGAATACTTTTAACTATTATTTAATGATTTTACTTACAGATTATATACTTGATTTAGTGATGTTTATGTCTAGCAATTACTATTTAATTTATTGTGTAATAAAGTTAACTGAGACTGCACTATTGTCAAATTATTTTTCACTAAAATACTTATATACCTTTGTATATTTTACAATTTTCTGTTAAAATGAATCAATATAAACAAGAATGTTGAATAATGAATGAACACTCACCAAATGAGTAAGTATTTAATATATTAAGTTCCAATTTCTTTTTTATATTTATACAACTAATTATTCTATACTAGTTAACTAAACAGTTATATCAATATGCCCAATTAATAAATAAGGCAAAATATAATTAACTTTTATATTTTAAAAAGTTCTTTGAACTATATTATAAGTAATTTATCTTAAATAGTGGTAACATACCTCATTAAAAAATAAAATAAAATACAGTAAAAAATTAACAAACGTACAAAAAAATAAAATTTTTAATATTGGAAAAATAGAGTTATATATTTTATAGTTAACAATGTTAAATGACCAATGAATACTCATTTTTGTAATTATACAACATACCATACATTGTTGTTCAACAATTTAATGATGCAATTAAATTAAAATTTTGATAATAACACAATACTTATATTAAATATTATGTGTGTTTTCTTATATTATTACTTCACTGAATCTAAATAAATAAATTATTATAAATAATGGGCATTTAAAACTAAAAATATAAAACTTTTTACGTTTAAAATACATTTAAAAAATATTTTTTAATAAATAATAACTTGAAATACTCTCATAAAAGATATTACACGAGTTTTTTTTATAAATACTAATAAAATATGTATCTATTAAGCTGACAAATATTTGTAAATCATTCAGTATCAAAATAGCTCTATTAACTTCAAATATATATTAAATCATGAATAAATCATTTTTTTAGTTCAAAAATCAGTACACATCATAAATAACTCGTAATTGTGTATTTAAGCTGCAACATCAAAAAACCTATCTAGCATGGCTGATACATGAGATGGAGTAAACTTTACATACTTTTCTGGGTTCTTAGTAAATGATGTTTGTGAAAACCTAAAAAATAAAGGAAATAATTTATAATTTATTAAGTAAGTTAACATAAATTTGTGCTGAACATGTATTAATACATCATCAAGTTTATATGTAATACATTTTATGAGTTATATAAATAATTATTGATCATATTATTTAAACTACACTAGAAAGAAGTATGGCATAAACATAGAAAACTTCAATATACTGCACTTAATTTTTATCCTATTGAGAATTAACTTCTTTATATGTATAAACAGAGTTGATGTGGGTGATTGTGTCAAGTGGAATTTTAGAATAATAGTGGCCGACCCCAAGTAGTTGGCATTAAGGCGAGGAAAAAAAGAAGATATGTATAGACATAGTGTCTCAAACCTAAGTGATATCACTTATATCTTTTGATTCAGTTATCATTTTGTTAAAGTTTTTCTTCAAAAATAATCTTCTTAGATTACATTTAAAATATATTTTTTACAATATTTTTAAATTTCAAAATTGCCATTTTAAACTTTTTTCTTTTTTACAAAAGTGGACTTTTTAACTTAACTTTTAAAAATTTCCAAACAAAATTTGTCTTGACAACTTATCTTCTACGTACAAATGGCTGCTGTAATTTAAAAAAATGCTATTTTTGTATTAAAATTTTCGATTTTATATTTTTAACTTAAAATTGCTATACATTTTTGGAAAATATATGTATCAACACAAATTTTTTTCTAATTACATTATATATACCCCTTTTATCCAACATATTTTTTTTTAAATCGAACAATTTTCCTTTATACAGAGGACTTTAAATCTTGAAATATATGTATCAAAAATAGAACTTTATCAACTTAGTTTTTGAAAATGTTCCAGAAATACTGCATCCTTAAATATATGTTAAATTAAAGCGTATATACGTATATATGTTACATTAGGGTGACCCTTAGCTACATGAGAGGTTTTTTTTTTTTTAATATTTGTAAGTGCCACCCCCTAAAATTATTCGAATACATGAAAAAATAAATTGTACAAAATTTGGAGACTATTGGTCAACTCTAAGACGTGCCCCAAGGGGGTTAAAAATAACCCCCCAAGGGTGATTTTTTAGTTTTTTTTGTCAATCTCAAAAACTTTAGCTTTTGCGAAAAAGTTTATTTGAACTTTTTTTTAGGTATACAATTTTTCTATAAAAAGTATATTTACAAAAATTTTCGAAAAGTTCTTATTTAGCCCTAAAAAAATAAAAACGTATATATTCTATTCTTACCGTTGAAATTGTTAATTTATAAATCGTTCATTATAAAAACATAAAAAAAAATCATTTAACCGTTGTTTTAAATTTAATTTTCTATACATTTTTAATTCGACATATTTTCTATTATTTACTATTCAAAACCTACAATTTTTTTAATTTTAATTAAAAAAAAACACATCAGAGTAAAATTAATACTTTTTTATAATTAATTTTTTAAAATAATAATTTTTTTTGTTTCAGGGCCAATTTGAATTGTCAATCAATGAGTTAAATATTCGTTCATTATGTATTTTTATTACAAGTTTATAAAGTTTCTGGTTGTATACAAATTTGTAAGTTAACATTATTTTAGCTTCAATGTGAAACTGAGACGGTATTAATTTTACTCTGATTTGTTTTTTTTTTAATTAAAATTAAAAAAATTGTAGGTTTTGAATAGTAAATAATAGAAAAAATGTCGAATTAAAAATGTATAGAAAATTAAATTTAAAACAACGGTTAAATGATTTTTTTTTATGTTTTTATAATGAACGATTTATAAATTAACAATTTCAACGGTAAGAATAGAATATATACGTTTTTATTTTTTTAGGGCTAAATAAGAACTTTTCGAAAATTTTTGTAAATATACTTTTTATAGAAAAATTGTATACCTAAAAAAAAGTTCAAATAAACTTTTTCGCAAAAGCTAAAGTTTTTGAGATAGACAAAAAAAAACTAAAAAATCCCCCTTGGGGGGTTATTTTTAACCCCCTTGGGGCACGTCTTAGAGTTGACCAATAGTTTCCAAATTTTGTACAATTTATTTTTTCATGTATTCGAATAATTTTAGGGGATGGCACTTTGTAATTTTTAAATTTTATAAATAAGGGACACCCTAATGTTACATACTATAAGTTAAAGAAATATTTGTCCTGACACTTTATTTTATATTTTAATCACTATCAGATATTATCTATACTTGTCCTATTTATCTATCAACTTATCCAGTAGTAATTCTTGTATCTTAATTTTTATATATTTTTTCTTATTATTGACAAATAATAAAAATGATTTTTATTTATATATAAAAAAAAAAATAATAATAATAATATGCTACAAGCATTGATTAAGAATAAAAAAACTATTTAAAAAAAAATCTTCAACAAAATAATGATTGAATCAAAAGTTATAAATATTGTTAGTTAGGTTACATTTAACCATATTAGGTTACTTTACCATATTAAGGATACATTACCTGTCATAAAAAGCATTATATTTAGGTAATATGTATTCTTTGTTATCACGTTTAAGTCCCTCTCGTAGTTCAATATCTGGTATTGTATATCCTCTTTGAAGTTTCAAAATTTCTTCAATTTCTTTGTTAAAGCCCTTTAAACAAATAATTTGTTGCTCAAAAATAATTTAATAAGAGAAAATCACACATATATTAAACTTACTGCAAATCTTTCTTTTATTAAGTTGCGATCTTTATCTTTTGGTTTGCCATTTATTAATTGAATATCATCTAAATTAGTAATATAACCAATAATTTTGATCCAACTATAATATTTCACAAAATTTTCATCATAAAATATGTGTTACATTTTATTAATCTATAATTTAACAGTAATTAATTTTTATACTTACCATTGTTGGTATGATTTTTTATGTGAAGCTATCATCTCAAGATATGTATTTTCACACTCAGGTTCAGTCAAAGAAACAATATCAAGAAGAGCTGATCGTTGTAATGCTTTAATAACATAATGAGAATTATTTAACCTGAATAAGTATTTCACACCAGGCTCACTGTATGAATCACTTCGATTAACAAGCATTAAATTTAATTGGGATAGAACTTTTTCTGAAAATCAGTAAGCATCAACAATATTATTTACTAATTAATAAAACACAATATATATTAATTAAAAACTAAGATGATAATTAATAAATTATATTTAGAAGTTTAAAATTAATATTGTGTTAAAAAACAAAAATGAGAAAATTTAAATAATTAATTCTTTTTTTCCTTGCCTTAATCCCAACTACTTGAATTGGCCAAAATTTAAATAACTAACTATGTATTAAATGAAATAATATATATAGATCATAATATATTCAATTATTTATACTATAAATCAAAACAGTATCCATTGTAAATATTGAGTGTGTTGTTAATTTGTGAAGTTAATTATTTAAAATAAAACTTTTATTATTCCAAGTTTATTAAAATTTTACAGATAATTTTGCAAAAAATATATATCTTTTATATTTAATACTATTATATATGTTCAAAAATTATTTCAATTTTTTTTTTATCAAAAAATACATAATTTTTACATTGAAAAAATTATTTACTTATATAAAGTCCTAAAAGAAATTTATATTTTTCGGGCAATGGTAAGTGATGTGGTACCATATTGTTATAAATAGGAACTTGAGATAAAAGTGGTCCAACACTATCTATGTATTCAAGAAGTTGTTCCATAAGTACAACAACATCACTAGTTAATTGATAAACAGTGCCATCTCGAGGTAATCCCATTGATGTATCAGACCTAACACTTTCAATTATCTCTTCCAATGTTCGAAGTCCCTATTTTTTAAAAACAAATTCAGTTAAATATTACTTACTATGAAATATGAATATTAATATAATATATAATAATATTGTAGAAATAAAAAAGAGAAAATAATTACAGTGGAATGAAAAGTATTCATAATTGTTGAATATTGCCCTCTTACAGTTGGGTCACATCCTTCCATTGTACGTTCAAAATCAATTTTCATAGATGTTAAATGTTTCAGTATAGGAAACATCACAAATACACTTGCAAATTCTTTTCTATGTATACAACGTTTTGCTCTAGTAGAAATATTCTAAGTAAAGTTTTAAAAATAATAGATTATAATAATTAGTTAGGATTATAATTATTGAGAGTAAAATTTTGCATTGCCATATTCTATAAAAACTTTTAAAGTAATGGGTGATTTTTTTACTATATCTGATGTGATTTAATGAAATATGCAATACCCTTTTTTCTCAAAGAAAATTATATCTAATTATCTTTATACTTAAAACATAAATATCTAGGAGTTCTATTTCCTCTCCTCACACTTAAAAATTAAATAAACTAAGTTTTTATATAACCACTATAATCTATTTTTCATTAATTACCTCTCCTTCGTGAACAATAGAAGAAAGACTCTCTTGTATAATAATTTGAAACACTTGATGATGATGTTTAATAGGTATTATACCAATCATGAGGTTAAGTTCTGCTTGCATTAGTCTTTGCAAAGCAATAACAGACACTAAATAGTTTTCCATCTCTTGTTCTTCCACAACATCTTCTTTATTTTCTATAAAATATTTAGGGTAATTTAATTTCTTGAATTCTAATTTAAATAGTAATCTTAAAACACACCAAGAAGATTGGGTCTTCTTGTCCCTAAGTTTAATCCTGTGGATTGTCCAATAGTTTGGGATGCTTTCATTAACATTCGATTAGCCTTCCTTTCAAATCTAAAAAATATAATTTATAAAATGTCAAACAAATACTTAGAATATTAATTATATATATAGTCATGATAAAAATTTTGAAGATATGCACTACATTTTGAAATCCAACTGATAAATCATAACAAATACAATCCTGGCCAATGTCTTCTTTCCTTGTCTTAATTCAGCCCTCAATTGTAATAGAACTAATGTAAAACACTAATAAATTTTTTTTTTTATTAAATTAATTTCACTTTTAATAAATAAATAACATAAGATTTTAATTAAAAAAAATTATATTATTATTCTTGATTGTGGGCACTCTTAAAAATCAATATATTTTATCATGAATATTTCAAACTATATATACAGGTTAATTGATTTTGGGTAAAACACTAATTTTTTAAAAAACTATTAAAATACATTTTTATATACAGAGTATGTAGTAAAATAATTATTTTTTCATTTATCAGGAAAAAACTTTACTCTATATAATTAGGAACCTCTATTTTTAATAAAAATAACATGATAAAAAAAAAAAAAAAAAATGAAAAAAAATTTTGTTTATAGACATTTTTTTATTTAATTATAACTTAACGTTTTAAGTTAGTTTATAAATTTTTGTACTAATTTGGGTTTCTTAATGCCAAAGACTTTTATAATTTGGCCATAAATAACTTTTTTATGATTGTTATAAATAAAAATTTTCTTTACTAATTGCCGACAATGTAGTATAGTAATCTAGCTTTGAACATTATGCAAATATGTAAGTAAGTGAATACTAATAGACATGAATTATTAAGGATAAGATTTCTATATGTTGGATAATACCTTAGTCAATAAAAACTAGTTTTAGTAACAAATTGGAAAAACAAAGACTTTTGTTATTATTAACGATGAAATATCATTAGCAAATGATCTTAAATTACTAAACTTTAGCATGATATAATAGATGAACAGTTTATTGGATAACAGAAATTATATGAACAAAATTGTTATAATTTTTTCTATCATATTATTAATTTAAAAATAAAGGTTCTTGATTAAGAAAATTAATTAAATTTATCCCTGAGGAATAAAAAAATAAAATTATTTAATTATAATGTAGTGTCTACATAATATTAATGTTTATTTTATCCAATTAATTTTTCTCTATACAAATTAAAATATTTTTAATTATTTATTAGAAAATAAATGTCTTACCCAAAATCTACCAACCTGCATAATCATAATAATCAGTTAAAATAATAATTTTTTGACTTACACATGTTGAATACGTTTTGAAGTTTTTCTAGTTACAGTGATTTCACTCTTATGTGGAAATTTCGTTTTCTACCAATGTATACAAATTTTAATTTTAATTAATTAATAAAAAATAAAAATTAAGTGAAATTTTACACACTATGACAGGAGATCCCATAGTTTGTCCAACAGCCATGTGAATACTACCAGCACTACCAGCCTTTTGATATTCTTTAAGAGTACTTATAGACTTTGTTAAAGTATTTGCACGTACTCTAGCATAAACATTCATGTATTCATCACGTGATTGGCTAATCAACCAGTCTGCTAGGCGAATGAGATCTGATGAAACATTTTCTGGGAAGTGATTAATAGAACTAACAGAGGATGAATCATCGGTCAATAGTTCTAATAACCATTTATTAAAAAAAATTTTATTACTTAAATTTAAACAGAAAAATATTTTTAATAAAAAATTAAGGTTTTACCTTCATCATTAGTAGCTATATCAAGAAGTATAGCAGGTTGAACTGGGTTACTATATTTTAAAAGTAATTCTTTAAATTCTCTTTGAATAGTATCTCCTCCAGATTTGAAAAGTGAAGACTAAAATAAAATATATTTGCATAATTAAAATTCATCTACATTTAAATCACCAATATGAGAAATGACAAAGTTACAAAATTTTAAAAATTAAGTTTTCAAGTGCAATGTTTTTTATGGAAAGATGCAAATAAGTTTAAAAATTTTGAAAGATGTTCAAAAATATTTGGATAAATATCTGTACAAAAGAATAAATATGTATCTAGTATCTGTTAAAGATTCTAGGTTTAAATTTTTGCAGTAATTTATGAATTTATATATTGTAGAAAGAACACAAACTTTCAAACACATTCCCTAAAGTTAAAATAGTTATTTTTTTCTTCTTTTAATATTAAATTGGAGTATCTCATCAAATACTATCCTTGCATCATTTCACTTTCAACACAACATACTAATGGTAACTTAAGAACAGTTTTTTTATCAGTTTAATATTACAGACTTTCACAGTTTTTCATTTAAAATAATACTTCAAATAATTTATAAAATTTACAAAAAAAATATCAATGCTAAACAAGGCCTGTAAATTATTATCAGTTTTTACTTATGTTTTATTCTTAACATAATTCATTTTTTTGCCTAGTATTTTTATTTAAAAGACAGTTATTTTTATACATATATATTTTTTGTTATAGTAGTTATTTAATAAAATTAAGAATGAGTAGAGTGCAAATATTTAGAAACTGAAACTTGTTTTTTCCTTTAATTATCAAACAAATATATATCTGATTATAAGCTCTTTTATATTAGTTTTTGAATCTTATTTTTTTTTTTTATATATCACATAAATTAACAACTATTAAATTAATTTAAAGTAGACAGTGCTTTGGTCTGACATTGACAGATTACCAGATTATATAATATAAAGATTATATGATTGACATATTATTATTTTATTTTTTATAATATAGTAAGACCTGGTTTGATTTAAAGATATATTAATTATTCATTAATTATTTATAATGTATTTTTAGGATAAAAAAATGATTGATATGAATTTTTATGAATAGAGAATTTAGTTAGTCCATAATATATTACTTAATGATTGAATTTAATAAATTTACGTACTACATTCTCAAGTTCAACACTTTGTGGATTGTTTTTCTCAAAATATACCTGTGCTTCTAACAATTTTTCCATAGCATCTAAATATTCATTTAATCCATCTGGACCATTAGGTCTAGATAAAATAATTGATTCTACTTGGGGGCATACGTCGTGATATGTTATTACTCTATCAAGTTCAAAAAGTGTTTTTTCTACATCTGTAAAATAGAATAAACAATAAATATTTCAAGATAATTAAGAATTCTTAGCTTGCATACTATTTTTTTTTAATTGTAAATTTTCCATTTCATTATAGATTGGTAATATAGTCTGTTGAAGACTACCAAGACGATTTTCAAATGAAGTTAAAATATCGACCATTTTTTCAGATAGTTGACTGCTACGTTTTACTTGTTCTTTAAGTAATTCTAAACTATGCCGCTCCTTAAATTGAAAATAGTCAAATATATATTAATATAAAGAATAAAAAGTACTTCTTATATAAGTATAAATTTATTAATGAACAGCATATCTAATTCTCATTATGTGAATAGTACTAACACATTATAAAAGTACTTATGTATTTGTTCTGTTATGACATACACATTATATCATTATTGTTACAATGTACTATTTAAGATTTTAATTAAAAAATCAAATGATATGACATGTATTAAAATATATCAATAAGCTACATATATACTTTTGAATATTTAAAAATATACCAATGTAGTTTTATATAAAAAACATATATTAATTATATAAAATAAACAAGAAATAATAATCAATATGAAATAGTGCTGAATGTAATTGGAGAGAGATGGATGAGGTGATGCAAGGGGTACCTGGCAATTAGGATGCGGTGATAGGTGGAGATATGAATGGACATGCAGGTAATGAGAGGAGAGGATATGAAAAAGTACAAAGAGTAAAGCAAGTAAAGGATTGTAAAGTTATATCAGAGAAGAGTGTAACTACACAGCATAGACTGATGATAATGGAGTTTTGGTGTACCGGGAAAAGAATATACAAAAACAGAAGGAACACGGGAGAAAAATCGAAAATCCTTTGGTGGAAATTGAAAGGGGAAAATGAAAAAGAGTTTGTCAAGACAGTAAAAGAGAGGACAGTGTGGAATGTCGAAGGAGACATAAATGATGTGTGGAATAGATTTGCTAGTTGTGTTAAGAATATTGCAAAGGAGATTGTTGATGAGAGTAGGAGTAGAATGCCAAGAAAAAAGGAACCCTGATGGTGGGATGTGGACGTTAAAAAAATCATAGAAAAAGCAATTCAAAGTATAGCAGAAGAGCATAAGGAGAGAAGATTGGATGGAGTATAAACGCTTGTGCAAAGAAGCCAAGTGTGCAGTAATTAAGGCGAAGTTAAAGAGGTATGATGAGTTGTATGATAGGCTAGGAACAAAGGAAGGCGAAAAAGAAATCTATAGACTTGCAATAGTAAGAGAGAAAAGGACTAAAGATTATCATTATATAAGGTGTATAAATAGTGCTGATAATAGGGTACTCTCGAGTGATGATGATGTGAAAAAAAGGTGGAAAAAGTATTTTGAAAAATTACTGAATGAGGCGTATCCAAAACAGACGTTAGTGGATATTTCGTAGAGTGAGAGACTGGTAAATTTAATTAGTGAGAAAGAGGTATCGGAGGCTGTGGCATCAATGAAAAAGAATAAAGCAGTGGGACCAGATGAAGTGCCAGTAGATGTATGGAAAATATTAGGCAGTGTTGGCATTCAAGGTGGTTGAAGGAACTTTAAATAAAATCTTATTAGAAGGGAAAATTCCAAATGAATGGAGAAATAGTATCGTGGTACCGATATTTAAAGGTAAAGGTGACATACAGGAGTATGGAAATTATAGAGGCATAAAACTTATGAGTCATAGTATGAAAATTTGAGTAAAGGTAATAGATAAGAGAATAAGAAATGAGACATCGGTATCTAAAAACCAGTTTGGATTTATGCCTGATAAGTCAACAATGTAAAAATTAATGTTGAAGGAAGAAGAGGTAGAGGAAGACCAAAAAAGAGATAGAGAAAATTATTAATAAAGGAATAATGGTATAATCAGTGATCACTCTTGCCTTTGAAAATATCACCTAACTTAATATAAAAAGCACAAAATAATGATCATTCTGTCTTAAATATTGGTCAGAATACTCTCACTTCACTCATTTGATCAATCTCACTCACTAAGTTGTACTCAATTCACATTTTGTTTCGAACTCATCAATAATATACGCAAGAAGTGATCAGCTGTATCCCTAAATCAATTTTATAAGAAAAATGAATGTTTATTTATTTCAGAGTATTTATTGGAAACATTAAAATAGGAAAACAATAACTTCACAAGTAATCTATAAGATTTAGAATTAAGTTTTATAAATACATAATTTAAGTAGGCACAAAGAAAAATCAAGTGATTATCAATAATAAAAAATATACTAAGTAAATTTAATAAATCAATAATGTTTTTATGGAGTTTGTTGGCAGAGTAAGATCATTGATACGTGTCTATTTCAGGAGTTAAGTAGAAGGTTCATATATAGCCATCATACTACTCTGGTTAGACACATGAGGTGATTCAATCCTACCTATTATTGGTAACCGTCAAATTATTAATAAAAGTGATATCATTAATATTAAAGAGTGTGCAATTGATCACCATAAATTTTAAATGAATAGATATAGATTGATTTATTTTTCAATCATATTTTTATTTTTCTTACGACCTTTATACTGATACCCCGAGAAATAACATTATCAAACAACAAAATAGTAACTCTAACAGCAATTTCTATTTACTTTTATTTTCTTTCCTTTTGAGTACTATATTTCTTTTTTTATAAAACTATCGAATTGAAATTTTTTTAATAATACTCTAAATTGATAAGATACTTACCATAGTATTTTTTAAAGAAAGTTATAATGTAATAATTATCATTTAATAAGTAATTTGCTAGCCAAAAATATATATATTTTTTATTCTAATGGCACAAAATATAATAATTATATTATAATATCAACATAACTATTATGTTAACTTTGATCAGTAAATAAAAAAAGTCACCTATGCATATATATATATTAGAAGTTTAAATTTGCATAAACAATTATTTATTTCAGAACAATAATTGCATTATGTTCAATAAAAATTGTATAATTTGAAAATTATTTAATCTACATCTAAACAAAGGTTTAAAATATTTTTTATAAAGAATGACTCAATTAATTGTCTGTAACTTTTTCTAATAAGCTCCTGTAAATTAAAATGAATTTAATATTTAAAATACTTGTTCTAATTTTTCACTGGAATCCATTTCTTGATTGATGTAACTGTGACCATCAAAACATGTTTTTTTTTATGCATATAATGACTGGACTTTATTTGTAATTCAATATTTGAACATAAGATAGATAAATTAAACATCCAACATAGATATTTAATTGAAAATTTTGAATGAAGTTGAAAAAAGTAATATCGTTATCAAAGTTGATTATATTATAATGTTAATTTGATAAATCAGCTGTTAAAATTAAATAGTAAAAGTTAATCTTTGGCTATCAGTAATAGAAACAAACCAAATTTCATGCACTTATTTTTATTAAGGAAATTTCTATTAAAACTTTAAGCCATTAATAAATAATAATCATATTTTCAATTTCGTTCTACAATTAATACAACTATGTTATCATTAAATAAAATTGCAAAATCTCTGGTAAGTTTTATCCTAATTAGTTTATCTTGTAATTCTCCATATCAATAAAATAATTATTTTAGATGTCAAATTCAAGAACCTTTCAGACTTCAGTTATTCTTAAACATGATTCTCTATTCAATGTAAGTATTTTAATTTTCTACTATAAATGAATCATAGTAATATTACAATTGATTTTATACAAAAGTTGTTGTCTAAAATAAATCAATTGTTAATTCTATGTACTTCTATAAACATTTTTAGCCATAGTCACTTATTATAAGAACTTAATAACTTTTGTAAAATTATATGTATCAACCTTAAAATTGTTTTCCAACAAATAAACTATCTATAAATTTGTATATTATTCTTGTTCAAATAATCAATATACCTGTTATCTTTTTAGATAGCTGAATATATTGAGAAAAAATTATAACTTCCAAAACTTTAAAAATATTTTTTTAATATTAAATTTAACACTAATTTTTTTTTTCAGCACAGAGATTCTAAAGATAACAATCTTGACATTAAATTTGAGTTTAACGATGAAAACAAAAAAGTAATACTTATAATCACAATTATATCTGATGATTTTATATTTTTATATTTTTTTACTAGAGAATTGAAGCTATACTAGCCATATATCCAGAAGGTCATAAACGAGCTGCAATGATACCTTTATTAGATTTAGCTCAAAGACAACATGGTTGGCTGCCCATATCAGCTATGCACAAAGTGGCTGATATTTTAAAATTACCAAAAATGCGTGTGTATGAGGTCGCTACATTTTATACAATGTTTATGAGACAACCAACTGGTAAATATCATGTTCAAGTATGTACAACAACACCGTGCTGGCTGCGAGGATCAGATGAAGTATTGAGTTGTCTTAAAAAGAAGTTGAATATTGGTGTAGGAGAAACAAGCAAGGATGGACAATGGACCCTCTCTGAAGTAGAATGCTTAGGTGCATGCGTGAATGCTCCTATGGTTCAAATCAATGATGATTATTACGTAATACTATTGAATATAAATTATTCTATCCTTACCTTATGATAATATTTAATTTTAATATTCCATTGTTTTAGTTATTTGAATTAAATAATAGATGTAATTAGTGGGATGAAAAGATACCTATTTTCAAGTTTAATATCACTTTAAATTAATATCATTGACTGCTAATATATTTTTTAAATTTATTTCACATCAATAACTTAACTTTTTAGTTAAAATTATAATAAAAAAAAATACTTTAAACTGTTTGTGTATTCATAAATGAAACAAAAAAACTCTAAAGCAATTTTTTTTAGTTTATCGAGAATATTTAAAAATATTTGATAGAACTAAATTAGAGACAAAAATGAGTTAAAATGTGCAAAGTATTTCAAAATTTATTTTATTTTTTAGGAGGATTTAACTTCTAAAGATGTAGAAGAAATTATTGACGATTTGAAAAATGGAAAAACTCCTACTCCTGGACCTAGGTAATTTATAAATATGCATTATTTTTTGCTTTATAAACTATTTTTTAATATTCTTCTTTTATTTATTTAGATCCACTAGATTTGCTTCAGAACCTATTAATGAATTAACATCCCTTAAAGAAGAGCCTTATGGTCCTGGTTTTAAAGTGCGTCCAGACCTTTAAAAATGATATTCCTCAAAATTTTGATAGGCAATAGATTTTAATTTTGTGAATAATATAAATAAAATACAACTTCATCATTTATACAGCTGATTGTTAATTAAAACCATATTTATTTACATAATTACATTTTCTTTGGCTTCTTTTTTATGTTTTATACAAATACTTTTATGATCTCTTAAATTATGTTTGTGTTTAAATCGTCGATGACATTTTACACATTCATATTTTAAATCTAAACCACAAACTTCAGAACGATGAAAGTTTAAAGCTGGTAGATTTTTGAATGAGTCTAAACAATCAGGACATGTGTGTTTTTCATCTAATCGAAGATTCATTAGTAATTTCTCATCCAGATCATCTGTAATTTTTAAACAGTGACAATTGTTTTTTTAATTAAAAAAATAATCAACAAAAAAGTGTTATAAAACTAAATATTAAATACAAGCAGAATAATTTTAAATAATTTGCAACTCATAATAGAAAATTAAAAATCCAAAAAATATTAAATTAGTCAATTTAAAAATAGCAGTATAAAAAAATCCGTTTTAATAAAGAATTTATACTTATAACAATTTTAATTAAATCAATTTCAATGTATTTAGCTATCAAAAATTATTTTTTAATTAATCAAATTGCTATTCAATTTTTTTCTGTTTTGCTCAAATGTATAGTTTAATTACTATGATTCTAGTTATAAAAAAAATGTTCCTACTATATTTAGTGATTTAAAAAGTTAAAATATACATAAATAGGTTTATTTTAGAATTCATGACGTTATATGGCTTGATTTAAACAATGTATATGTGTAATGTTAATTTATTTTTACTAATACCAATTTTACAATTAACAACTATAGGATTAGAGAGTCACTAAAAAACTAAGCTTTAGAAAGTTCTTATATTTCATAATCTAATACTTTGCTTATATTTATAATTCACTGTATTAATTAGACTTCTGCAAACATGAGGACTAACATTTTCCAAAAATATTTTTAGGCATTAAAAAATCAAATTTACAAACAATAGTTCATATTAAAATGTTGTGTTTTGAAATTGTATGAGTTTTCAAGTTATGTCTATGATAAAAGTACATATTGCATATTTTACATTCGTGCCTGGGCATTTTCCCACATTCATCTCTAGTATGCCGTCTTAGAGATTCCTTATGTTTGTACCATTTACCGCAAACATTACATAACCAAGGTTTGTCTAAAAACAAATAATTTTAAATAGTTTGTACACATTAAATCATATATCAGGGGAAAAAATTAAGCAAGAACACAAATAATAGAAGTGATGTAGTCAAAACGAAAAAAAATTTTCAAAGACATTACATTACATTTAAACTACGTATACATAATTTATTTAATTTGCTCGATTTTTTAGAACAGATATATAAAATATTAGTTTATGGATTTTTCCTTGCACAATATATTTTGAGTTTAGTGAATACATTACAAGAGCCCAAATGGTCTTCTAATTCAGTGGCAATAACTAGTCGACAGTATGGGCACTTAGTAATCCATAATGATCGACAATATCCTGAAACATAATATAAGGTTTTAAAATAAAACCAATATTAAATAATTGATAAATGCAAGTAAAGCATTAAACCAATACCTCGTACACAGGAACCTAATTGAAACATTTGAAATCAGGAGAAATTATAAAAAAAAGTACAAATTTTTTAGTGTTAAAAATGTATGACTTATATTGCTCACTCTAAATATATTAAATATAATTTGTCTGTATATATGTATTTATAATTTGTATAAATATATACTTATATATTCATATTATATTTATATATATATATATATAAATTAAATATCAAATAATTTATGTACACATAAAACAGGACAATTAGCGAAAAAAAAAATAGTACAAAATTAATAAGTAGTTACCTACAAACGACTAGAGTTTGAAAAAAATTAGTTAGTTGTTCACATTTTATTTTGAAATTCCACATTATGAATACATACGAGTCAATTTGTGCTAAAAATGACTAATTACACCTTATAGAACTATTAAGTTCTAAAATGATTGAGAACTAAATATACATCTTAATTCATTGCACACAAGTTACATACTTCAAACAAACATTAAAATAGTAAATACAAATTAGTATGTTAGAAAAAAAATTGCATACTCATTTTACACAAAAATGATTACAAACACAAGATTAAAAATCAATTAATTTACTTTATACAGTATATTTAATTTTAATTAATATGATTTCATTTTATAAAATAGATAATTTAATTGTTATTATTTAGGTTGATAAATGCATCTAAAATATTCATTAATTTAACTTTGACTCAAAGAATTAAGTTTTCAAATATTATTTATGAACACATGACTTAAAAACAAAATGATTAAAACATAGAAATTGTCACATAAGGTAATGCAGGAGTTTTATAGTTTGATTTCAATATTATTTAAATAATATAAAAAGTTATATATTAAATATAATCTATTGTGCGTATTTTGTCAAGATAATAAATAATAAAGAGTTAAAAAATAAAATTGTTAAAAATGTTCAAAATTACTCAATTTTAACTTAATACTTCGCTTATTTATATTAATAAATTATAAATACTTAAAATGTTTTTAGTAAAGATTAGACTACAAAAATGATATGACATATATCTGTCAACATTTTTTGAAAATAATTAAACTAAAAAAATTTAGTCAACCTAAAAAATGTTTTTTTACAATCAAATTTAATTTTATTATGACTAGAAATGACCAGTAGGTTTTCAACAACGTTGAAATAAGTATCAATATACCTTAATTAATATACATAAAACGTATAACTTAAGTTTCGATAGTAAAACATACAAATAAACACACTGTGTAAAAGCTTAATGACTAGAACCAAATCAAAGACGACAAATGCTTTTGCTGTGAAAAATCTTAAAACATAATTAATAAAAACACATTATTGAGTTGTATAATTAAAACAACATATATAATGTTGTACCATAAATGTGGTGAAATAATTATTTTAAATGAATTGCACTTAATAAAATAAAAGAGACTAGTTTAAATCATTTCACATTTGACTAGATATAGACGATAAAATATGACAAATTATTTTGAAAAAAATCTTTTTATTTTAGTGTTGTAAGTGGAATATAAAACAAATTAATCAGTTATTTTTTTAATCAAAAGATTTTTAAATTTTTTCCCGTATTAAACTAATGAATAATTATTACTTCTTTATTCATTATTACTTAAATTTAAGAGTTTAAAAAAAAATTTCTATTTCAGTTTTGAAAAAAAAAAAAAAAAAAAATAAAATATGTTATTAAAACTACGAAAAATCATGACCACAACAAAGTATTGGCGTAGAAAAAATTTAATTTCCTAACTTTTGGATATTTGATTTCCAATTTTGGGCTAAATTTTGATTTTTTAAGTGTAAAACCAATATAGTTTGGGATGGAGATGTTGTAGTAGTAGTGGATGTAGAAACTGCTGTTATAGGTAATGCATCAGGACACGGAGCAGGTAATTTAAGTAAACGTTGAACTGTAGGTGTTGAGGAAGTTGATGTGGATGCTGATGAGGAAGCTGTGTTGTCATCAAACACAATGTGTGGACATAGTATGACATGTTTATTGAGACGGCTGGTGTGTTTAAAACTCATACCGCAACGTGGGCACGCATGCTGTGGTCCTTTGTCACAACGGTCCTCGCGTATATGTCGTTTCAAACTCTGTTTCCATTGATATACCTTACCACATAACTTGCACTCAAACTTCTCAGATAATGCATCTGAATCTGAAATCAAGTTAAACACCACTATTCGTATTAATTGCATTATTACGAACAAGTAATTTAATAAGCTATTATACTTTAAGAATTACAAATTTATACTATATTTATGATAATATATTATATTCACTATATTTTTTACTTTTTTGTTAAATTAGGTTTCATTTAGTTAAAAAAAATTTTTTATTATAATAACAAAAAACAGAATTTAAAGTACCTACTCTATAAAACATTTATAGATTTTTATTTTATTATTAATGAATAGAGTTATTTCAGGATGCTATGTTAAATTATATTCATGGAATCATTTGTTTATTATTATTGATCAAAAAATTCTAAAGATAAATTTAAAGGGAGATTCCCTATTTATATAAACTAACTACTTCAAATTAAATTCGTCATTAGCTAAGTTTGCGAGAGACCATGGGGACATAAAAACATCCGTAGCCCCCTCAAATGATTTGAATTTACTTTTGGGTAGAAGAAAGGTATTTAAAGCAACATGCTCAGGTATTTATTCAAATGAAAGAAGTTAATTGAATCTAAAGATTTTAAGATATAATCAGATTTATCAAATTAAAACAATCTAGTTGTCAACTAAAAGATTGACACTATAGGCACTAATGATTAAACATTTATGTGTGCTAAATGTTATGATTATTTATAGTATTAGTATATAATTATCGACAAAATGTTTTTAATTGTTGGTAGCATTACAGATCCAAAGCACTATCTGTATTTACAATCTTAATTTTTTAAACTCGCTAAATTAAATTAAGTGTCAAAGTAAAACAAAACTCAGGCTTCTGTAACTAAATAACTTCTACAAATTGTAAAATATTCTGAATTATAGTTAAAATAAAAGTTGCAAGGTATAGAGTCATTAATTTTGAGAGCTACAAAAATGGGAAGCTCTCTCAGCCCTCAAAAAAAAAAAGTCGTTTAATTATTATGCTACAGAATACTGTTAATGATTTATGATAAATTATCATAATACGAAATATTTGATATCATATTAAACACCAAGACAATTAATTTCTTCAGAGAGTTTTAATAGAAAAAATCTGAATAAGACTATTGATAAAATGGACATACACAATTAAGTTATAATTAAATTGTTGACGAATATAAAAAGTTTGTCAAATGAACAATAGAGCTTAGATGACACTAAATCTCCATCAAACAAAAAAATTGTTACATCTTAATAAAAATTGGTTTCAAGAATGATATAGAAATTTTTAACAGTAAAATCTGGGAATACTTTTGGTTTTTTAATGGGGGGTTTATCTAGAGTTCAGTTTAACTAATATATAAAACTGAGTATTTTTTCAGTGTCCGAAATAAAGCAGTTTTGATAATTATAATTATTATATGACTATTACTACTATGTATTAAAAAATTATATGGCTTAACCAAATTAAAATTCTATCAATAATTTTATTGGGTTAAGTTTAAAATATATTATCAAAGTAGTTGGTGTAAGATAATACAAATGAGAAAATATGAGAGCTTAGCATTAAAAAAAATTGATCCAGATGCTAATTTACTTGATATTTTCCGTACTATATTATAACATTTTTTTGTAATACTTTTATACTTACATTATAAAGCAGATCAATTTTGAAAATTCAATGTTAAACTTGATTGTAATCAATTTAAACTACTGAGTTAGACTAAAACATATATTTAAAAATAGGCAAATAAAATGAACACAAAATCATATCTATACAAAAACAAAAGAAATCACGAAAAACCATTTGTAGTGTTCAAACTTACCTTGAGAAATCTCGAAAGAAAATTTAAAAAGTAGATCAATTTCCAAGTGCTTATAGGAAAGCTTAGGAATTAACAAAAGTACATTTTAATATGTCTAAATTTTTGGAATTTAATAAATAATATAAAAAAACACTATTTGTCATGTTTATTTAATTTGTCATTCGTTCAAAAAAATATTCATACACATCGTATATAAAAAAAAAAAAGAAAAAAAACAATCAATAATAATTATTTGTAATAGAAATTATTAACAAATGTTTAAACAACCCAAAAGTACATTAATACTTAAAACTAAATCTTATTCAAAATAAAACATAAAACACAATAAAAAAAATTAAGATCTATCAACACAATTAAATTCAGTCCCAAAGATGTTTAAGTCGTTAAGTAGATAGTTTATTTTGTTTGACTAAGATAGAAAATAAATAAATATATAAACATATAATGATTAATAAATATTAAATAATAAGTAAAATATTTTTTCAGAATACTTAGAATAACATAGTAAAATTTGGCACTAAAAAAGATCATTACAAGAAAAAAAAAATTGAGCATTCTTATTGGGGTGTGATTTTTGATCCTTCATAAATTGTATTTTGAACGACCGAGGGAGGGGGTTTGTGGTAGTTCCGAACATGTTTTAATAGATTGGATCGCACCTTACATCTATATGGACAATGAGGACATAAACATCTGGGTTCTTTTCCACATTCATTTTGCAAATGACTTTTTAGAGAACTTCTCCATTTATAAGTACGACTACATTGAGGACACTCGTAACGCACAGTTGTTGAATTATCAATCGATGTACCAGTGATAGCAAACATGAAGTCTGTAGGAAACAACAAACATCATTACACCTACAATACAAATCGAGTTGTGCATACACCATTTTTTTAGTAATTTAATTATTTTAAATCATCGAGTTTAGAATAAATGATGGGAACGTAATTTTTCTTAATATGAAGAAATATACATAAATTTGAATTACACGTACATTTAAATTACCCCAAAGTAAAAATTAAATTATTTAAGCTTTAAATTAGTAAGTCCAGAGGCTCTGTAAAGGCACAACTCGAATTTTATTAAGTATACCAATTAGGAGCAACCACAAAAGCATGCGCGGATTACCCAATTTTGTAGAATTTATAAAATCATTTATGTATTAATAATTAAATATATTGAAATGACAAATAATAAGAAATAACATAATTATACTTACTTGAATATACTTACAAATACCTAAGCACAATTTGTTCATAATAATCCAAAGCAAATATGATTTTTATAATTAAATATTGATCCCAAGTTAGTACATTGACACTTACAAAAATATGATAAAAACAAACCGCGGATTTATCATGACAAAAACCAAGTTTGAAACTTCCCATAGCAGAGCAAGCAACAATGAATGACGATTACACCACATAGTTTAAAAATACACATACGGCTTTTAATTATATTATAAAACAGAGAAAAAAACTTGACCTAACATCCAATCAAGGTACAGTTTTTTATTTCAAATAATGTTTAAATAAAATAAAATAAATAAATAATAAATCATTTTTTCGTTTTAATAAAAGTATTACAATAAAAGCAAGAAGATGTACCTAAACATAAATACTCATGTGATAATTAATGAAGTTAAACATGACAAATACAGACTTAAACAGAAACAAAAAGACTAATAATACCAAACAAAAATTAAATAACCTAATGAGGATAATTATGATTGAAATAAATATAAATAATTAACTTAAAAACACGTTCCTTAACTTAATAAATAATACTTATTAACAAATTAATATGACACATGAATATTTGATTTGTTGTGTGCGTTGACTAAAGTATATATACATATACCATCTAATTAAATAATGTATAACATATATATTTCCTGAAATTTCATACATAAATATCAAAAATTGAATTCTTAATTATTAAAAATATATTTTATATTTATATAATACATGGTATTAAGATTTAAAAAAAAATGAAGAAACGAATAAAAGTTCTGAATGGCACTTTAAGGTTTTAAACAAATAATTTTAACAACCAATTTTGTCAGGAAAAAATAACTTATTCAAACAAAAGAATAGTAAGGAAAATAAATGCAAATTGAAACAGCATAGATATAAAGGCACAATTATCACATGGTTTCTGCCCATTGGCACAATCAATTATCAGTGAATACAAAAACATATTTAAAAATCAGACTTTTTGAAGTTGTTAAATTTGATTAAATAACAAATTTTTGTGTTTTGATTTTATTTCATGTTTCACTAAATATTTCGTTTTCACATTAACTGTTAAATAAAGAGGTATATCACACATTTTTAGTATTACTTTTGTTAATAAAATAACTATGATCTAAATTATCCTATTACTAATAAAAAAAAATTATTATGAATATAATATGATTGGTGGCGAGTGTTCATTAATATTACTTGGAAAATATAAGATTTCATAATATATAATGGTACATTTAATAACATAATTTAATTCAAATAAATATAAAGTGCAATAAATAGTGACGATTTTAAAAACCCAAAAATCAAACAAAAGGATAAGTTTAAATTGTTAAGTTATGTATATATAAATAAAATTAAAAAATCTTGATCTAGTTTTTCTTAATCATTAAGAATGAACTTAAAAATTAAATATGATAGATTCTTTTTAAAGATAAAAGCTAAATAACAAAAGTCAGAAATTAAATGCAAAAAATAATTATTGTTCATTGGAGTCAATTGGACTAATTAAAATCGCCACATGTCATATTGCTTAACTTTAACTAAATTTACTGTACAATAAATAAATGTATACAATGTGAAATCATTTCATATTATACACTTTTCATTGGCACTTTTAACACTTAATAATTAGGTTAAAAAATTTAAAAACATGCTTTAATAATCATTTAAAGCTTTTATACATATAAATAATAAAAAATAAAATAGAAAACATTTTGATTTACATGGACTTGAAAAATATGACCAGTCAATATGTGAACATTACGGCACTTAAGTTTGATTTTTACACTGTTGTACTTAAGAATTTAAATCTGCAATAGCTGTTGCTGTAGTTGCAACTGTTGCAGATGGTACAGTTATATTTTGAAATTCTTCAGAGCATTTTTCTCTGTGCATTCTTTCAATATGTCTAGCAACATGCATTTTTTGTTTGGCTCTATAATTGCAAAATGGACATTGAAATTGAGGGTCTTTTCCACATTCCCATTTTTGATGGTTACGTAAAGAACTCTTCAATTTATAATGTCTACCACAGCGTGGGCATTCAACTCCGCCACTAGTACTTGGTGAACTAGCATTACTTATTTGCAAAGTATCATTTGATGCTGTTGGATCGAATTTACAATTGTTGTAGTAGTTAGTGAATTTGAAATTGATAGCAGACATTGGACCATTTGGACCAAATGAATTGAATAGTGGTACTAAAGAACGTTGTGAAGGAGGATATCCATCCCAATTTTCACCGCCATCTTGCCATCTTTTTATTATTTCTGCAAAGGATCCGAACAACAAACATGACAGACAAATAATATAGACAATAGTACAAAGGAGGGAAGTTGCTATGTAAAAATATCATGTTAATAAATCTTTTTAAATCTTATATATTAATATTTACGCATATCATAAATTAGAATTCAAAGAAATGCAGATAAAAGAACCTTTTAACTCATTAAGCTATTAATGACATTCTATCAGAAAAAAATAGTATTTAAAGTGTTTATAATTTTTAATTCTTTGATATCAACCCAACCTACTCAACTTATATAATAATATAAATTTTAGAAGTATTCTGAACCTAATAAAAAATGCTAGGTATTTCTGATTTTTGTCAGACTAGGCACATTAATGATAAAACTCTGATTTTAAACACAATAATTTTTCAAAGACTATTAAGAACAAACTGTCACCAAATTCTTAATTTTAAAAAATTTATCAAATAAAAATATTATTTTAATTAATTAGGCTCTTAAGTGTTAATAATATTAGGATTATGTCGTGGCGTGGCGTTAAAAAATTATCAGCAATTTTGATGTATTACTTATTACAAGCTAGTAGCCTATTAGATAGAACATTCTTTCATTAATATAAATAAAACTATGATAGATATAGAACAGAAGATATGTTAAACCAATCCAAGCGCATCAACATCAATATTAGTTAAGTATTCTAAGAAAATTTGGTAATTTATTAAGACTTACAGCAAAGTTTTACACTTCAGACATAAAGTTCACAATGAAATGTGATAGACAATTATAAAAACAACAAACATATAAAATATAATTTTTCTTAAATCATAATTTAGTGCATTTGAAAAATCCATTTTGCATTTGTTGAACATTATGTTGAAATTTAAAGATGTCAACTTATAAACAGCAAGTCTTTAAGTGCCAACTTTATCATTGATAATGTTTGAAGTTATTTGTTTTAGATAACATTTTATCAAAGTAATGTTTATACAAAAATAACGAAGCATAAAACAACAGTTGCACATTTAAACCAATAATGTTGGATTTCCTACAACTAATATATTATGAAAAATTAGAATATTTATAAAAAAAACTAAGTTATACTAAATAGATAAATATGTCTTTTTGAAGATGCCAATACTTATTTAAAATAAATGACTTTATGAGTAAAAAACATTTCAGTGATTTCTTTGATAGCAAATTAAAATGAATCAAGTGTCAATAGGCTTCCTCTTGCATTAATGTTAACTTGTTAAATGTTAATGAGTAAAAATAGAAAAGTGCATTACCTCTGATAAATTCTTTTTCTTTAAATGTTTATAAAAAATACATAAATAAACAAACATTAAAATTACTAAACATCTCCAAAGTGCATTATAAGATCAATACAAAGAGTATAACAATTTTAAGCCGAGATACATGATAGATTTAACTTATAAAAATAATATATTTATATAAAAACAGTTAGATAGTTACTAGGTATTTCAGAAATGCATAAAATATATTATGATAATTTTGTGTTTTAGTTTAAAACATACCTTATATTTGTCATATATTGATTTATCTTTATTTTACAAATAAATTTTCAACTTATAAAATTTAATGTACAAAAAGGAAATATAAATATATCTTGCAAGTACATAAGAACTCCCTAAAATATTAATTATTTTAATCCAAACTAAATGCATAATACAATTTACAAGACACAGCCCTTTAATACATACTATATGTATATTTATAATATAATAATCCAACTATTTAAAAAACTAATCGTATAATTGTGTATATAAAATGCAATGTCATATTTATATCAAACTTAAAAAAACAAAATAAAATAATAATGGAAATGTTAAAAAGATGAAATAAAATCAGTCTATTATTATATAATAAAAATAAATTAATATCATGATTGTTGTACCTACCCCCACATCAATATACAAATTGGAGCATTTTTATTTCATTCCAAATAACTAATATAAACTCTTTTTTAACATAATGTTTAAAATTAAATGATTATCATAAAAACTAAAAAATAATTCAAATTAATTTTAGCAGTTTATCTTATGTCTGTACTTCATATGAGTCAACAAGTGAGCTTTTTGTTTTGCTTTGTATGAACACATGGAACATTTGAACTGGGGCTCTTTGCCACATTCCCACCGCTGATGATTCAACAATGAACTCTTCAGCTTGTAATGACGGCCGCACCTTGTACAGCTTATTGCTAAGGAAAGCACACACAACACACATACCACATAGAGTTTCCAGAAAATAATAAGTACATATAACGTTTTAATCTAACCGGACCAAGTTAGTAGAACCATGCCCATTTTATTAGTTTTAGAAAATTTTATATATTTACAGCTTGATAACAATTCTTTTAAACAATACAATAAGATGAAATACAAATAAGAGCTAACAAGTCAAATAAATTTTTTTGTAGTAACTTGCATACTTTTTAAGGTAATTTAAAAATAATTTTATTAAACCTAAAGGCAAAAGCAGTGACTTTAAGAAAAAACAATGAGTTAAATGGTTTATGATAAAAATGCTTGAATTAAAAAAATTAACCTACAGTAATTTAGATAAGGAATTGTATTTGAAAAAGAAAACATACATTTATTCACAATTTTTAAATATATACAATAATTTTGATAAAGAATTAAGTCTTTTAAATTTTTTTTAAGAAAATGTTAAAAATAAAACCAATTTTTATTTTTATTGTTATTCATACAAGGACACTTTGTATTTTTTTTTTTTTGGGTTTATAAATATATAATTAAAAATTATATGAGTGTGTTTATACATACAAAAATTACTCATTTTATATAGATGATGGATAACTATGAACTAATAAAAAACTAAATGATAAACTTGTAATTATATGTTTGAAAAAGGCCAAAGATAAGAAATGATTTTATTATATCCTGAACCAGAAAAAAAATAGCTTTTCTTTTTTATATATACATTTATAATTTTCATAATTCTTTAAAATATAACTGTTTTGGGTTATTTTTATATTTAATCTTAACTTCTTCATGAAAAATATTATCTAGCTAAATTTACTAATTGAAAATTACAGTATTTTAAGTAAAATAATGTTAAATTGATTTTCTTCAAAGAATGAAGTAAAATACAACATAAGGCTAAAAAATTCAAACTATGAGATACAGAATTCTATTTTTTAGTCAAATCTTCAACTTAACATTTGAATACAAATTTCAAAAACATTACAATGTAATTATGATAGATATAGATATATTCATATCTTTTACTTTATTACAGACTACGTGACTTAATAATTTTCTATGGAATACAGATATCTGTTATTATCCATTGCTGTAGTTTTTATTTATTTGGACTTTAACCACACTTAGTAGATCTGTTTGTAATACAACTTCAATTATAATCTTGTCTATATTTAAATAGTGTGTAAGATAAGAAGTACTAGTGAACTGATCAAATTCTCTACAGAAATCTTCAAGCCATTATATATTATAATACATTTTCAGATTTTTAAATGGTAATGGTATATTATAAGACAATCGCGCTAGATAACCTTAATTTATCATTCAATAGAGCATAAGATAGATTATAATAATAATAATAACTTACTTACATTCACCTGTATATATTTTCCCCACTTAATTTTCTAGCAGATACAAAAAAAAAAAAAAGAAACATAAAATAAAAAAAGAATTAGAAGCACAAAAAAATATACATCTCATCGAAATGTAAAGCTTACAAAAACCAAGCTGAAATACATGCAAATAAATAAAGCCTTTAACATAAAGCATGCAAATATGTTAGACCTTTAAATTGTTAAACCTTGTATATGTAAACTTATCTATTTAGTATATACCCTACATATACAATTATTAATTTTATTTTAAAAATATTTTATAAGTTTTTAATTAACACAAAAAAATCATGAACAGAAAGTTGTACTAAAATAGTTTTTAGAAAAAAAAAATGTTTCTTTTTTTATGAATAAAAAAATGTAAAAACATCAAACATTAGATTTTTCAAAATTCAGATTAATAACATAATTGAAATTTTTCAAATGTGTTTGATTATCTTCTATTCTAGAATCAAAATAATTTTACCTTATTTAAAATCAGAATATAAATAATTTCATATTCCCGTTAATAGATTTAACCATTATATTTTGTTTAAAATAACCAAAAAAGAAAATTATCTTAGTACACATATGTGTAAATATAACTTTACATTACAAATAACCTAAATCCACTTAGTTGATTCTTAAACACCCTTACTCATGCAAATATTTAACATACAGGTACAATTTTTAATTAGTCAGTTTTTACACTAAAAATGTATAGTAGGATACTAATAATTTAAAGTATCTATAAATCTTACCTTTACAGTCCATAGGTGTGTTTACAGAGTTTGTGCTATCTTGATTATTTGTTTCTAATTGCCATGAATTTGATGTTGGTATTGCTAAAAAAAAAATTATTTTAATATTATTAAGAATATGGTAAGTTATTTTAAACTTTAATTGTTATTTTAAATATTAATATATATATATATATATATATAGAGAGAGAGAGATTACAGGTATATTATATTAATAAAAATGCTTGATTTGATTGATTTTGGTTTTGGTTATCAAAACCATATCAAGCCAAAAATTTACTTCTCACTATAATAAAAGTAATGTTTTAGTAATGACTAGAATAGCTAAAATAAAATATATTTAAATTTTTCAATACATTTCATAATTACAAGATTCTATACTTTTAAAACTTAAGTTTTTTTTGTAAACTTTTAATACAAATTACAATTTGTATAGCTTAAGATAATGGATTAGTAGCTTTTAGATCAAATAAAAAAAAATTTCATGAAAAATTTATGATGAAGTTAATAATATAAGTCAATAACTAGGGCTGTAAATTATATGTATTTATAAATTTTATTTGAGCCACTTTAAAGCATCCTAAGTTTGTGCAACTTGACATAGGATTATATAGTAACACAGAAATATTTTTTATTTTTAGGAGAGGGTTAACTTTCATTCCCTAAAAATTATAACATCGGAGAAAACACATTATTAAGTTTTCAAGTCAATTAATACAAATTTGTATTGGCTGATAGTGTGATCAGATTAATTACATAAAAGTTAATATTAAAATGTATATAATTCACAGCACTGTTAAAAAAATTGGAACGACTAATACAACACTACTTGATAAATATAAAAATTATTAATATTTTTATATTTAGTATAAACATAAATAAAAATACATATTATTTATATCTAGAAATTAAGTATAAAAATAATGGTTCCTAAAACTTTTTTTTTATTACTATCCATTAAAAAATATCACATATGGCCCTCTATAAAAGAAATGTGTAGGTAATCCAATACCCTCTAGTTGAACATGTAAATTCTATAACCTTCTTAGATAAATACTGAATAGAATATTAAGATAAGGCTTTTTCAAAATTAAACTACTGTATCTATTATTCACTCGTAAGTAATGAGAAAGTATGGTGACTAAGAATATTAAATACCCAATTGTTATCTCCAAAATTACAAGTAAAAAAATTAATCATTTGTTATTATACCTATAATATCAATAAAAGTTAAATTACCAGTATTATTTGTATCTCCTTGAGAAGTTCCAGGTTGTGATACTTCATTTTCATCATACTCTTCTTCATCTTCTTCTAGTGTCATATCATCTACACTGTCATCATAAGACATTTCGGTTAAGCATTCTTGTCGGTCACCAGCAATTGATTCTATTTTAGGCTTAATAATTTGATTTTCAGTCATCTTATTCAATTCCTTTTCTGGTGAACATGATTTTCTGTAAGGTTCCATTTTAATAATCTTATTTGCTGAAGAAGGTATATTGTTATTATTTGTTGGTGATTTTTCAACGGTATGTGATTCAGATTCAGTCATGCTATCATCGCCATTATCTTGATGATGATCATCAGGACCATTTGTTCGTTGAATTTTTCTCTTTTTTGTATTAGGTGACAAACTACCTTCTCTAGGTCTCGAGTATATTCGGGTAGATTCATTTTGGCTCCAAATGGTAGGTGAATTAGAACTAACAGAAGATAAAGAAGGAGGTTGTTTTCTATGATCAAATCGTTTTGAAATAGGATCTTCAAAATCAGAATTTTCTCGAACTCCAATGCCCGCACTTTCTGTTAAACCTTTAATTTGGAGAGATTCTGCTGCTTTAAGAAAAGTTCCAAGTTCTTCTTGAGATATATTTACTTCGCCCCGATACATATAATCTAACATGGATTTTAATTCTTGAAATTTTATGTCTTTTAAAATTAAAATTGGATGTTTTTCTTGGTGTTGACTTAATAAAACCTAGAAATAAAATTATATGATTTAAAACATATAAAAATAAACTAATCAATAATAAGGATGAAAGTAAACTTTATTTATATATATTACTAAAAAAAAATAAAAAATGTGGTGTTAAAACTTTACAAGTATTAAAATTTTAATTTAATTAGGATAATATCCTAATTATATTATAATACAAAGAAAAAGAAAATATATAGATGAATTAATAGTTAAATTATCTAATATTGTCAATGTAAAATTGAATTAAAATTATATTATAATATAATTATAAATAATAATAATTAAATTTAATCGATACTTAAGTTATAATAAAGCAACTATGATGAGAAGAAGTTGATGTTCATATAATGTTGATTCTTAGAATATAAAATGCAGAATAATCTATAAGGAAATAATTACAATGGGATAAGGGACAGTAGTAGGGAAAAATCATAAATCAACAAATATTCCTACATATATTATCTAAAATATTAATTAAACATACTAATAATGAAATCCTTAATAGTTCTTAAAAAATAAAATGTTTAAAAAAAATTTCTGTTATTTTAACTACAATTAATGCCAATTATTATAAATCATTGCTCAATCAAATTTCATCATAATTATATATTACATTGAATTTTGAGTTATTAATTTAAATAATACTATTTTATTCAACATCCCTTCAGTGATAAGGTGAATATATGTTAAATATAATTAGATATCTGGAGAATTTTGGAGAACTATAAATTACTAAAACTATAAGAACTAAAATCTAATGAGGTGTATTTGTAATTCAAAATTTTTTAAGATTTTAAGAATTATTTTAATTAAACAACTACTGTATATTAAATCTTGAATAATAATAAGATTTAAAATACTACACAAGGCATATCCAAAAAAATGAATTAGGCCTCATTTTAGTATATTGTTAATTTTTTGTAATAGCTTTATTTTCTAATTTGTAATTTTTATTTATTTTGGGTCTTCAAAAACTTGCATACTTATCAATTATTATTTATTCTAAATTTTGTTTTAGTTGGTTTATATAATAATTTTTAACAACAAATATAAGAGAAAATTTTAAGGTCACTATTAATATTTAGAAAAGAATGCAAACATGTGAATTTATGAAAGCCAATAAATGTGCATTTTTAAGAAAGTGAAATTGGAAAGCATATCTTGAAGGGTAGGGCACAGCTATACATATTTTAGTAGGTAGACAAAAAAGGAGAAAGGAAACCTGAATATTTAAAAAAGAAAAAGTACCTTATACTTTAAAATTGTATAAATTAAATAATTAATGTGATTTAAAAAATATTTTTATACTAACTCATATACACAAGCTCAAAATTGGAAAACATAACTTGAAGATAAATGTAAAAAGAAAGTTTAAAAATAGTGAAGTTATATGCTTTGCTACCCAAAGGAAAAAAATTGATTACAAAGCTTTGATTGAAAATCAATAAAATAAATATATAACTCGTACAACTAAAGTAAAACTTATAATATTTATAAAATATATTAAAACTGTATAGTATTGAACACATTTCAGGTAAATATTTTACTAAAAACGTAAATTTTCTTTTAATAAATCAGTTTTAAAATATTTATTAGAACGTTATATCACATATTTAGAGATATCGGGATAAATTTTACTACAACCAAATATCATTATTAATAAGAATCATAGTCTTTATTTTTACGAAGGTAATAGAACATAATAATCACACGACTTGAGTTCTATAATAGAAGTAATTTCATTATCAATTTAATAATAATTCTCGCATTGGGAGCGCAATACATTTAATTTGGCAACGTGAAAAAAAAGAGAAATTTTCTTTGTCATGTTTAGTATGAGTGAACGCGCGCGAATAACGGGACAGGAAAACGACGGGAAAAAAGTGAAGGGGTGTGGAACTGGTTTTCATACCGCCTGGTGAAAATCGTGTGCAGACACTGCATACATGCGCGACGGCGACATGTAAGTAGGCCAAAACCAAACGGAAATGCCCTCAAAACAAAAAACTAGGATCCTGGTTCTACGTTTGCAAAAAGAATGAATGTACACTTTCGAGTTTCACACATACATTTAATTTAAAATGCGAAAATGAGATCCTTTTAAATGAACTTCTAAACAACAATAAGTCACTTACCCCTAAGTACGGACTGCAAGCAGATAGGACAACTTTATGAGCTTTTAGATATCGTCCCTCGGCAGCCAGGGTACAATCCACTAGAGTTCCGCTTTCTAGGAGACTGTCGAACACTGAAATCAGGGTCCTCTGATGATTGTTCCATCGTAGACAGAACTGCTGGCTTACGGACATGACTAAATACCGTAGCCGAGCCAACGATAAGGATATTTAAATTTTAAAAATGAATATTAAATTGTAGATACAGCTAGCCAACACATACGGAACGATATTTTCGTTAGCACACAGGAACCATACAAATTGAACGGTCCGCGTTGGTCCACTGTCCGGCGGCGAGTTAAACTATCTAATTGGAATTATATTTACGTGCGTGTGTGTATGCGTGAAATATTATTTATTCCTCCGAACTTATCAATAAATGCACTTCGGCGGGGACAACAATTTAAAAAACGCCCGGTGTTCAACAATTACGGCAACGAACGATTTACTTTAGCTATGTCGAATTCAGTTTTCTCTAGTTTTCTTTATCAATTGAAATTTGGTTCTCTTAGCTACACAGATCTATACAACGACGATATTTTCGTCCGTCCGGGCATCACAAACACAGTACATACATACACACACACGCACGTTCATGAACTCACACATACACACCTTAAAAACCAATTCCAAACCCGTACGACAGATAATGTAAAAAAAAAAATATATATATATATGTGTATGAAAAAAAGGACCAAACACAACACACTCGCTCGCACGCACGCACCACACAGAGCGGTTCACTATACGCACTTATAAACACACATACACAGTCGCGTATACACATGCACGATTATACACCACTACTACCACCACCACCAAAACCGTGGTATACAGCCATAATGGATTTGTGAGACCGCACAGATGTTAACTGCGCGTGCGTTCTGTCGTTTATGATGTTAGTAACGTATACTATACACCATTTCGTTCAAATTCGATCGTAACTTAGAGTAGTATTAATAAAATAATAATGTTATCGTTTCTAATTATTGATATCAAATAATGAAACGGTTTGTGATGTTATATCGGAAAAATTGTATTTATACTTTAACTCAGTAACGAGTCAAAACGTAACACTGCCTCAACTATTTTTCGTATTATCATTAATTTAAAAAAATTAATTCGTAGTAAAAAAAACAACAAGTAAATTTTTGAAATATATAAATATAAAAAATGTGGAAAATTCAAAATATTTATTTACTAAATCAATTTTATGTAATTGAATATTGATAATAATGCAATAACTGATTTATGTCTCCAGACAGTCAACAATTCCTATTATTGGGAAAATATTAAATCTTTTAAAAAATTTATTTTGGAAACATGTCTGATCATTAAGAAATTATTTATTTTAAGAATAGACAGTTAGGTCAAGACTTTGGGGGTAAGGCCCTTCCAAAAAATTATGTATAATGTTATACAAAAATATTTTAGGAGAGGGATTATTATTAGCCCTCATTCAATTTTTTTTACTCCACTTGTGATATTGAGTAAAAAGTATAATCAACAAAATTTAATTATAAATAAATTTTATTATACTAAAATTTAAGTTTATCTAGCTTTTATCCTTTACCATATTTATAAAAACATTTATATAAAATAGGAGTTTAAATCAATATTGTACTTAAAAAAATTTTATTACTCCCTTCAAAGTGTATCTTAAAAACGCAATTATTTCGTCATTGGTTTGGGCCTTAATCTCTAATATACAAAAATAAGCCCAGTACATCAGTTAAACGGTTTGCGGATAAAACGGACAATGGAAAAAACAAGCATAAATGAAACAGTTAAGGAAAAAAAATATAATAGATAAAAAAATTAGGAAAAAGAGGTCAAAATAAATAATATCTTAACTTTAAAATATGAATATTTTTTCTGGATCTATGAATATTAAAATTTATAATTGTAATTTTTTGCACATTGAAGGTTTATTATACATCCAAATATATGATTTTGTTCAGTCGCGTATTTACGCAGGGAGCAAGTAGAGCAATTTCACTCTCCAAAACACATTTTTCAACGATTTTTTTTGCTTATGGATATTTTTTATTAAATGAAATGCATAAAAAATAATCATCATTTTACAAATGATTATTTATCATTTACAATAAAAACAAATAACAGATAATTTTTATCTACAATCCTATTACCTGATTTTTGATTTCAAAGTTTTTAAACTACTACGATTGGAGCAGTTATTAAAGATTATAAATCGTATAAAAACGAAATACACTTTTTATACATATGTTTCAAGCATTGAACTCACCTCTTTATGGGGCAATGGATAGATTTAAAAAAAATTAGGTTAGATGTATGAGACATGTATAAAGTAGTTACAAAAAATTTGTATTGATCCATACATTTTTAAAAAAGTATAGAAATAATAAGTTGAAAAAATGAAATATGAAATTTTAACACAAAAAAAGCATATTTTTTTAACTATAGCGACTGGTTTCACATAGAAGTTAAAGTGTCGAGACAAATTTTATTTTTAATTAATAATATTTAACGTAAGCTATAATTTAATATAAATGTTGTATACTAAAAGGTGCAGATTTCCGAAACATGTTCAAAACTTTTTATCTAAAAGTTGCTATTTAGAATCTCCATCTGTGGACTGGTGAAAGTTTACATTTACAAAAAAAATATATAACTAATGAAAGAAAAATAACCTAAAGTATTTATGAAAGAATAATCATTTAGATTTATTTATTTTTCAAAAACTTATGAGTTTTTTTTTAAAAAAAAAGTTTTATAAGTATCATAATTTACTGATTTCAAAAACGTATTTTTTTTGTTGATTTTCCTCGTTTACGGAAAAAGTTTTCAATTTTTAAGGGTTTTGTCTTTAACTATGTACAGTTTTGATATTGATAAAAACCAGTAAGAGTTAAGAAAAAATGACAGAAAAAATAAATAAATATACATCAGAGTAAAATTAATACATTGTTACCTTTACGTCGAAGATAAAAATTATTGTGAAGTATAAAATTATGTGACATGATATTTTTGTTTTACTATAATGAAAATAATAATATGCATTACACTTATTTACAACTTAAAATGTTTTAAGTTAATTTATTAAGGTTTCCAATTTCATATCAACTGTTAATGCACTTTTTGTTACGTGAGGATAATTAAATCTTTAAGATTTGATAGTCTAAAACACTATTAAATATTAAGTTAAATTTTTAAAGTAAATAATTTTATAAAAATACCTCTTGTAATGTTTTCAGAATGGGTGTAGTGGATCATTCAACTGTCGCCTTAGTGCTGTTAGTTCCCGAATGGATGATCATACATGAATTTGAGATTTACGTCGCTTTTCAAATAATTTTAATTTGGTTGTAATTCTCCAGGGAAATAACAAATAAGAAAATTTGTCCTATTCATTTTTCTATTGATCTTTTTTTCCGTATATCCAATTTAAAATATTTTAAGTGCTTTGCTTGACACATTTTAAATGCTTAACACAAAAGTGTTAATTTACGATCAATTTAAATTTTTTCAATTAAATATCATAGCTTAAATTATTTTGTTTTATTAAGTTATAAACAATGATAATTGACTTGTAATTTTGTTATGATACAATGAATATTTCTTATACTAAAGTAGCGAACAAATATATCGAAAAATCCTAAAAAAATCAAGAAGAATTACATGATTTTTTATTGTTAAATTATATTTAATTATTTAATAAGTAATTTGTATAGTATTAATGGCAAAAGACATAATATAATATTGTATTTTAGGTATTAGAAAAGATAATAATTTAAATTTTGAATATTTTTGTAAATTAATATTTCCATACATTTAAATCTAAATAAAGTTTTTAACAATAAGTAAAAATTCAATGATCTCTCATTTCACATTATATGGTAATGTCTTATGAATGTTAATCATGTGACCATCTAAGACTTCTTTTCTAGCAAATTTTTTCCAACATAACTTGCAATTGAATCTTGGTTCAACCCCACACTCATATTTTAAATGTCGTAAAATACCACTTCTATGTTTATAACATTTTCCACAATTAGGACATAAAAATCGGTTTTTTTCTAAACTAAATGTAGATGACGATGATATGTTAACTGTTTTATGTAAATTAAATCCTGAAAAATAATTAATTACGTCTTATTCTGTGATTTCATTAAAAAAAAATTATCAAGCTAGTTATTTTTAAAATTCTCAGTTAGAAAAAAATGAAGCAAATACTAATAATTAATAAAAGCGTTTAAGAATCAGTACAATAGAAAGACTGCTACATTGTTAGAAATTTTTGAGTAATAACTAACGAGTAATAATATAATGAATTGCCATATGCTAATTAGAACATAGTTATCATTCGTATTTTAATGGCATGTTATTCCAAAATATACATTTATTGAAATTGGTAAAGATGCAATCTTATGACACTAATGAATATAGAAATAAAATAGTTGGGTACCATTTAAATAAATTTTAAATTAATGATCTTTTGTTCAGGAATGTAGTACAAAATACATCTACAGTAATATAAAATTTGATAATTAAAAAAATATTGTAAATCATGATAAATTGGGACCCATCTGTACACTCTAGTAGGGCAGCTGTTTTAATAATTCATTCATCTTCAAGTAGAGATGGCATTTCTAAATGTTTATATTTTCATGTCCTACCTACTTTATTTGACATAACGCCATTAATACTGTGTTAAATTGAATTACTCAATACAACAATATTTATATAGTATGGAACAAACTATACTTTTCGATAAAGGGGTGCCTAATAAATATCTCTTTAAAGAACATATATTTTTTTTAAAGAAAACATCAGCTGATCAGTTTTTTTAGATCTATGATATTGTACTGTTAATAGGTAACAAGATCATTATTACAATTTTTATTTTGCATTTTCTTTAAAATACTTCAAAGACACGTCATATGCAAAAATAAAAAGTATGATTTTAGTATTTGATGGTTCTTAAAATAACCCGAGTATGTTACTGTTTCAATTATCCCAATAATTTTCTAAATTATTGAACATCACCAGATATATTCATAAAAAAAAAATTACTGAACAACCAATTGGTTTAGTCATTCACAAAATATATTATTTTGAAAATATAGATTTTTATCATTAAAAATAACAGATATTAATTAAAATATTAGCTCATTTATTTTATAATTTTTGCTTTATAATGATAAATTTTATACTTAGTATATGAAAAGTTCAAATAAAAGCATATACATAGCTACAAATGAAAATTTAATAATAAAAAAAAAATACAAATATACATTCTTTATTGTATATATAATACTTTTGAACTGTTATAAAAACTTTTTTGAACAAAACTTGTAAAATAATAATCCTTATTTAAATAAATTACAATAAAAAAGATTTAATTTTCAACTTCAAATGAAGTACTTATAGCATGTTTTTGTGAGAGATGTAAATTATATTCTTTTTTTGTTTCATAGTTTTCACCACAACAATGACAAAATGTTGAGTATTTTTCAATATTACATGTATGTTTGCTAATATCAGATCTATTTGTGAAAGATTCATTACAATTTGGGCAAATATATACACCTTTTTCAACACAATAAGTCATTGCAAAATTGCCCGAGTAGGATTTATTGTAATCTAAAACACAATAAGTTAAACAGTAATAAGTTTTCAATTAAATAACTTAGTGTTGTATGATAACTTTCTTTTTATAGTATAGATTATAATTTTTATATGAAATATCATTAAAATGTTGTTCATGTTTTCAAAAAGTTAATACGTCAAATACATACGCTTTTTAAAGAGCAAACGCAAATAAAATATTTTTATGACAACCAATAGAAAATATGGTGAAATGTTTAACTGTATGCTATTTTCGTGTAAAAATTTTTGATTTAGAAATTTCTTTTTAAATCATTTGATTTTTATCTCATTTAAATTCAATAGCTTTAATAAATATCAATGACCCCATCACTGTAATCCCCCCTCGTTTGAAGACATTTCTTTTTAATATTTTAAAGTTATATTACTGTGATTTTTTTTTTTTTTTTATGGCTCTCATTTATTTCATCAGCTCTCACTTGACTAACTTAACCAAATTTTAATGATACATCAAATGATCACAACTAATTCACTCAATTGAGTAGAATTTTTTAACGACATTATGTTTGGTTTTTTTAGTTAAAGCGCATCATTAAAATTAATTATGTTCTGAATATATAATTATAATTAATATATAATTGCTGATTTGAAATTATCACAAAAAATTGAATAAGTATATAAGTCTTGAATAAAAGTATATAACTCTGATGAAAATTTTTTGCAGATTATTTATTCATAATTAACAACAAATTATTATCTAAAAAGTTCTGTGTCGAGCCCTTCAATTTTAATACACGTTTGCCATAAAAGTAATAACTACTTTATAATTTTTTATAAATTCTCTGAAAAAATTACAATACTAAATTATTAAATATCAAGTTCATACTATGTTGAATTGCTTTAATAGATATTTATTCATAAATTATACTTATAAATCAACTACTAATTAGGAATAATGATAAAAATAGGAGTTAATTTTGCTTATAGAATAATCAACCAATTTTTTAAAATTTAAGACTATCTACAGATTTGTAACGAAGCGTTTTTTATGATAGTTATTTTAATCACTGTCAGTTATCATCTAACTGTACCCAACTATACCATGTCCTCACTGTGCTAGGTTTTTTATTTTATCTATATTTCAAAGAAACTGTGATTTATACAAGCAGAGAGCTTATAATTATAAGTAAAATATATATATAAATATAAAATTATCAGTTATCATAATTATTTACAAATAAAAATGGCATACTAGTTCAATAAAATTTTTTAAAAATTAAATAAAATGGAATTATTATTTTGTATTATACAGAATTATCCATTTATAATATAAATATAATGATAATAATATGTAACTATATACAAATATTATATTATAATATTACATTACTTAATTTTAAATTATAGTTAATTTTTAGTATAACTTGCAGAGATGACAACTTTTAGACCAGTCGTTCAGAAGTTATTTTCATTATTAAACATAGGTGGGAGGAGGAATGCAACAAAGTAATGCCAATTGTCAAAATAGGAGCAACCACGCTTTACTTACAGTCTATATTTTAAAATGCTAATAACTTTCGAAAGTTGTTTTTGATTAGTTACTTTCTTTATTAGATATTTTACTATCTTATAAGCTAGTTAAATGTGCAGGTTTTAATAATAATAAAAGGAAAAACCTCTAGAAGTTATAAGGGATGATGCTAAAAAGTAATTATTAAATGATAAAATAAGAAATATATGTATAAAAAAAAAAAAATATAAATGTATTATTTTGTGAGTAATTGAGCAGGTTATAAGAAATAACCACTTTGTATAAACCAATAAGCTTTAATATTTTTTATAAGTACTATTACAATTTAAACGTTTCTTTGGAAAATGTATTTGAATATTAAATTTAATTCCTTATTAAAATTATAGTATCTAAATATTTATTATAATTAACTGATTACTAATAAAAAGTTGAGTAAAAAAAAAACAAAGTAGGACAAATTGACACACACTAGTTGTGGCATATTGATACACTTTAATTAGACTATCCTTGACAATATATATATAAAAAAAAATTAACTACAATATTTTTAAATTATAGAAACGAGTACTCAAATATAGATCTGCAAATAATTTTTTAGGAAATAGATGATATTTTATTAATTTTCTGAACAAAAATTTTTTGGTATCTAAAAAATTACCGTTTAATAAAAAATGATGTAATTGATCTGTTGTAAATAAGAGAATAAGATAAATTTGCACACAGACAGACAAATTGATTAAATCTAACGTATAATTATTTTGTTTCATAAATTTTTTAAGTGTCACTTACTGTTGGAGTTTAATGATAAATTATTTTCCAATTGTTTTTTTTCAGGAGTGTAGATAACTGTTTGCTCTTTAGAACAACTAATTTTGGCTATCTGAATTTTTTTTTTCATAAATTTTCGTTTGTTTGCTAGTAGTTTGTATCCCTAAATAAAAGAAAATATTAAATAGTTATAACATTGCAATAACATAGTAATTGGTAACACCAATTTAAAAATGAGTTTCTAAATTATTAATACTAATTTATGTTATAAACCCTGATTTTTTCAACTTAACTTTTAACTTATCAGTCAAATCCAAACTTCAATTTTAATAATTTTTAAGCAAAAATTTGTTATATTACTATTATATTTAAGAATTATTAATTCGTTACTGAAAATATAAAGATGAAACTAAAAACAAAAAATATAGCCAACTAAATATTGTCTAGTTTCTCAACTTTTCAGACTGTCAAAATTATATAATTAAAAAAAAAAAAAAAAAACTGAGTTGAGGAGGCAAAATGAAAAATTGTAATTTTTTAAGTGTATTAAAAAAAGAAATTTCTAACAAGTTATTGATTTTTTATATCTTTTTATATTTAACTTTTATAGCTATGCGTATTATCTTTTAACAAATTCAAATTTTAACTATAAATCTTAGACATTAAGAATAATCCTAAGAACTAAAATACGATAATCAGTTATTGGCAAAATAGCACAGAAATATGTGCAAGGTCCCTTACATTATTACGGTATAGAAATAATAATGCCGATTTCGGTAATTGAGATAAGACCAGAGATATACAATAAAATTAATTAACAGTCTTCTTGTTAATGAATACTCTTGATCTTGTCTTATACTTAACTTAAATTACCTACCATGTAAAGTGTGTGTGTGTGTCCCTGTCAGCTTTCTGTTGGATTATTATCACCTCTAGGTGTCCAGCAGGTTGTACTATTTATTTAATATATCTTTACTTAATAAATATTTATATCGTTGTTAACCAAGAGTGTTATATATATATATTGTAGTGCGACCCTTGTTGTTCCTCTAAGGGAATATAAATTAAATAGGAAACCTTAGTACCTAAGGTAGATATAGCCTAGCCAGTTATCTCCCGTTGGTCTCTGTTGACGGGCATTTAGGCTCAACTTCTAAATAACGACGCAATAATTGGTAGAGGCGCCGATCTCACCGTTTTATTTTAAATTTTCATTGAGGGATCCTCCTAAGTGTACTACAATTTTTATATACCGCTTTTCACGGTTAACTTATAAATTAGATATTTTTTATTTATTATTGGCTCATTTTATTGTAATAGTAACAATTAAGTATAACTATAAATTAAGTCTTTGAGTTACATAATCTATATACGTTTATATGTCTCTTTATAATTATTATTTAAATGAGTGAGTCCAACACCCCTACAGATCTCGACAAAACTTGTTGAATCCCCATAGTCCGGTACTTCTAATAATTTGCAAAGAGATACTGTAGTATTTAAAACCAATATTACTAACCCAGGAACTATGGCCATAAACACAATTAGAACATCCCAAACATTTTCAGGAAACTTAACGGAGGACGTGGATAGATTCTTTGTTAATTTCGAAAGGGTAGCAACCGCTAATAGGTGAGATGAAGCGGAGAAATTAATAATGTTCCTCCTTTCATTATGTGACATGGCACAAACGGTTTTTGAGGCTATTGAATCCGAAAACCCAAACTTAATTTGGCACGAGGCAAAAAATATACCATCAAAGTTTTATAATTCAGACAATTTAATTACAACATCAACAAATGATTCAATATCTACTGTAATTTTTTTAAATCAATTAGATATTTTTAAACAAAATTCCTACAAATAATTTAATAGCTACTGAACAATAGAAAACTATACTAATATTTTAAATATATCTTCTATAGTAGCAAAAATTCAATCAGCTACAAAAAAAAATTCAATATTAGTTATTGTACAACAATTTCAATTTTCTGTACAGTAAAATAAGGGTTTTAATATACCTTTCTATACAATTAAAGTTTTCACTATTGTAATTTTCTTCAATAATGCACTGATAATTAATCCACAATACAAAAATGTCTATGAAACAGCTAACAAATTTTTTTTAACAAATAATAGCTGAGTTAATGTATTCTTAATAAAAAAAAAAAAAAAATGTTGAATTTGTTATTTCATTATATTTAAGTTATAAACATAATCACGTTGAACAACATTTTGAAGAAGGCTAATTCAAATCCTCCTCTTCTTAAAAATATTTTTACAAAATTATAGTTACTATTTTAGTTACTTTTAGTACTACAAAATAGTTAGAATTTAATGTTAAAGAACAGAAAAATTACAATATTAATTGTTAAGCTATATTCAGTATTAAAAATGAATATAATTCCAATAATACTGAACACTAGAGCTAAACAACAGAAGTTTACTTTTAGTATAAAATTTGGTTAGATTTCTTTTTTATTTTTAGATAGATTTATCTTTAGTGCACTTAATATTTTAGAAAAAATTAACTATTATTATTTTCAGATTTACTTACTTTTGGAGTATACCAACAAATACCTTTGTGAAATTTATGACAAGTTTTACAGACTAAAAAAAAATAATTTTAATTTGTTTAATAATTGAAACTTATTCATTAATATTGATCTAGGAATAATTCCAAAATAACATTATATGCTGTTAAATCGCCAATTTTTTTTATAACAAAACAGTTATTTACATATACATTCAATGTTTAAAAATATAAAAGATACTGAAATTTAAATCTTTAAGTTCTCGAAAATATGTTTCTAAGTATTGGTACATTAATCCTAAACCAATATTTATATTTTAATATTTCTACTTAATTAAAATTACCTACGTCTATATTTGCCAAAACTTATATTGCCAAATGAATCTATGTAAAAAGTTTGATCTCCACGAAAATGAAAAGTTTGTATTAATTTGCCATTTGAATACATATTACAGGCTGACATCTTTAATAAAAAAATAGTACATTAAAAGAATTTTACTCATTATCAATTGGTTGAAAATCAATTTTATGTTACCTTAGCAGGTTACTGGTTAATTGCTCTTTTTTTAATTAGATTAAAAGTTTCCAAACTAGAAAGTTGTTTAAATATGATACAACTAAAAACTAATATGATATAATTAAAATTTTCCTCGTTTTTCAATAAAGCTAATTTTGGGCAAGGCTAGACATTAAGGTTTTAAAAAGTTAAAACATTAAGTAAGGTAACTCATTATTTTAAGTTCATTATAGAATTGTAAAAATTGTTTTTTTAAGGTATCTATATATTATTGTTCCATGTACAAAATGAACTTAACGAGTTAGCAAGATATGAAAATTTGGTTGGTTTTGTTTTAAACTATAACTATATAAGAGAAGAAAACATGTTTTACATTTAACTTACATTTAAATACTTCTTGGATGTATCTAAGATTTTGTTCAGTTAAATCCAAACTTTTTTTTTAACCATAAATTTATTATTAAATAAAATCTAATAAAACACTAAATTATTAAAAAAGTTTAGTGTAATAAAAGGTACTTGATATATATACTGCGCTATATTTCTTACCACCGAAACAGGAGCACAAAGAAAAAGAACGTTAAATGTGATTGGTATATAGATATAACATTTTAACGAAGGTAACTTTATATCTAACTAGTTGACACACTGCATTGGTAAGATAATAAATGGTATCACTGTTAAAACAGTATTAAATGAAAATACATGCACGTGGGACACTGGAAATTTGGACTCGCCAGCGTGAATCTAAATCTTTTTTTTTGCATGTGGTGAAATTTATATTTCTCCATCATCCAGAATATATTTTTTAAAAATAATGTACACGATATAATCTGTCTTATCATATGAGGAGCCTTTCTATCTTCCGATACTCATACTATAAGGCTGGTTAAGGAAATGGGGTCAGCACAAAAATATATTTTCCCATACAGAGTTTGTAGTTTGTTAAACACTGACCTATATCCAGCACCGGATTAAAAAAAACTAGATTTTACATAAGGAATCATCAATTATCTTATTTTTACGGAAGGGATCCAAATTCCAAATTATTAACAACTTGAGATTGATTTTTCAAAAAATTTTTTCATTCATAATACAGTACATGATGAAAAATTCTTTACATCTTTATGTGTTTAATAAAACAAAAAAATTGTCAGTTACTGAAACACTAGCTGATAAGCATAAATTCTTAAATAATAAAAAAATTAATTTATTTAACATTGTAGTTTTAAAAATTGTATGATTTAAATAAAGTATTTTAATTGTGTTTTCGTAATAATGTAACATCGTACAAGTATTAAGTATTTTATAAAAATTTGTTAAGATGATTTTTAATTAATTATGTATGGTAATTATTAATTATAGCTTTATAAATAATTACTATGATTAAAAAAAAAAAAAAACATTTTTATATCAGTAAATTATGGCCAATGGAGAGGACAAGTGTTCCTGTGCTCTCCTCAAAATATGTAACTGGTCAAAATGTGTACACAAAAATAACTTAAAACTTTCCACAATTTTACATTTACTTTTTACTATTTAAAAATGTCAAAGTTCCCAAATATTGGATACAAAAAGATTATTAAAGTTTATGTATTTACAACTATGTTAAAAAGTATTGCATTCAAATTTCGAAAATCGAGTTTTTGTGCTAACCTAATAATTTATTTTAGCTGAGAATTAACTACTATAGTCATACTAAAGAATGTCAACAATTAGACTATATTAATAATATATTAAGTATAATGTAATGTAGAATAATATTAATGATTTATATTCACATTATTACATTGTAAAAAAATTAACATAGAGAAACTAAAATATAATAATTTTATAGTATACATAACAATAAAAATTAATTTTGTAATCTATATCTACTACCAATATACAATATTTTACCATGTACTTCTATCAGAATTGCATTGATCCGTGAATTTTAAAATTATCAAATTTAACAATTAATTTATGAACACATATTAGATGACTTTTAAGGTGATCTTTCCTACTGAAAGCTTTAGAACATATGCTACAAATAAACCGTTTATCACCACATTCTTGTTTGATATGAAATACTAATCTGGATTTTCGTGAATACATTTTATTACACTGCGGGCATACATATTTTCCTAATTCAGGTCTCCAATTTAATTCAGCTAAATGACGAATCCCTAAAAAAAAAAAAAATCAAAAAACGATTATAAATTTGTAATACTGACAAGGAATATGAAATAACTTGATTCATTTTTTGATTAATTAACTAAGCATTCGTCAAGAAATTAATATATTGTGCAAGACAGTCGAGAATATGTCAAATCGTTTGAGAATAATCAATCCTTCTGAAAACATCTAACACATGACAACATTTTTTTTAAAGGAAATTTTTAATTAGTTTAAAATTTGCAATTGGAAGTAGTATTCTTTTATAAGTAGGTTAATAATTTATTATTTTAAGTTATATACTCAGGATGTTTTTAAATCCTGGGTACGCTACTGGTTTACATATTTGTAATATTTGGGATTTTTTTATTTCACGAGCTTTCTAGATTTGCAGTATTTACAGTACACAGTGATTTGTTTACCATTATTTCAGAAGTTATTAACTAGACAGGGGGAGAAGTGCAGTAGTCAAGAATTATCCAATAATAAAAATAGTCATATTCGCGCCTCATTCAGCCTCACTGAATACTCTGTATAATATATGTATATATAAAAGTTAGGTATACCTAACTAAAAAAACCAATAAAAATATTTCCGAAATTATTTTTGTTTTGCAAGTAATCAAGTGGGTTTTTATAAATAAATAATCTTGTCACATCGAATTTTCACTGTTGAAGTGTCCTGGGCATCAATCGTTTCATATGATAATATTGATTGTAAATATTTCAAATTACTATGGTAGTTTTAAATGCCATCGATGTTAAAATTTCCCTCGTTTCTCATGAATGGGGGAAACCTCCTAATAAAAAGCGCTAATTTTCGAAATTTTTTCAATTTTTTTTACTTAAAACTGCCATAACTTTTTCAAAAATGAACAAATCAATATCATTTTTTTTTATAGATGCTTGATGTTTTTACCTTTCATTTGGTATATTTTTTTATAATTTTGACCCTTTACCTGCCCACAGGGGGGGATTTAAAATGGCAACTTTTTCAACTTAACTTTTGAAATTGTTCTGGAAAGTCTGACACTTTTATATATATCTTAAATTAAAGCTAATGTAATATACTTTATTATTGAAAAAAAAAATTTCGGACTTTATTTTGTCTTCACGGTGAAAATGGCTACCAAATGCTATTTTTGTGTGAAAATTCTCGATTTTATTTTTTATATTTTTAATTTTATAATGCTATACCTTATTGAAAAGTATATGGATCAACACAATTTTTTTATGAGAAATAATATTTTTTAATAATCCCTTTTTCATTCGACATACTTTATCTTTAATCAGGATATTAATAAGGAACTAGCAGATCATGTAGCTTTTAGAATAATCCACCATTTTTTTAAAATTAAACACTATCTAAAGATTTGCATCGGAGCTTTTTTTTTTGATAGTGATTTTAATCACTGTCAGATATCATTATACTTGATTCAACTATGCTACGTCAGCAATGTGCCGCGACCCCCCTGTGCTAGGTTTTTTTTTATTTTATGATGGGGTCGACAAATATTATCTCAGGTATACCCTCTCAGAATAAAACCCTAATTATGCTTCTGTCATAAATTATAATCTATAATTATCATTATAAACTCAATTTCATTAGTTATACAATTTAATATCTCAATATATTTTATAAAAGGTGTGATAAAAGTTATGATAAAAAAGCTTTAATTTGGAAATAAATTAAAATTTATTATTATTTACAAGATAATCATAAATTGAATCGAAAATAATACTAATTTAACTATTAAATACAAAAGTAACTTAAGGCTAAACTAAGAATATTTTTTACATTTTATGGAATTTTGATAACAATAAGTACTTGTTATAATGTAATCGTCAAACAAATCAAATATTTGGAAAAATAATATTTTTATCAAATAATAAAAAAATTTACCAACTTTAAATACAAAGACTATTAACAGTTTTAATATAATTTGTCACTAAGACAGGTAATGAGCGTTAATTACCCGCTATATAGCAATTATAGATTAAAATAAAGTAAAATAATATAATTAAAGAACTTCAAAAACTGCAACAACTTGTGGAATTAAAAGGTTTTATTTCGTTGAAAAAATGACAGACATTTTATTAATTTTTAATTAGAGTAATGTTGAAATACTTAAGACACAATTCGATGGATCATTGCTAGGTGGTTTTTTAATGTGACTTTTTGTGAAAACTGTTTATAACAAATGAGGCATTTGAAACGTCTCTGACCACCACATTCTAGTCTCAAATGATTACTTAGGCTAGATTTAAGCTTATAAACTTTATTGCAACCTTTATTTTGACATTTATATTCTCTCATTGGCCCTGAAAGTATAAGAGTTACAATTAATTTTTTGTTATATTATAAATTCAACAATATTAACCAATAAAAAATTATAAGGCTTGTTATTTACCACGATTTTTTATTAAAGATTATAAATTATAATTACACTCCTGTATAAATAAATGACCCTGTACTCTTTTTTGTAAAATTTATTGAAAATATTATCTTAGTTACTGTAGTTTAGCGAGAAGTATCAAAGGATTTTTTAAGGATTAAATTAAGTACAAATAAATATTTATAAATACAAATTAAGTACTGGAGTAAATAAGAACAGTTATAGTGCCCACAGACACAATTAGAGGGCTTGGGGTCAAACCCTTTTAGTTTAAGAGGTAGCCCAAAACTTAAAAAAATATATATATACAGAGTGATTCCTTAACTTTAGCCATTCTCAATCTCTTTTACAATAATAATTTTAAGAAATTTTTTTTTTAGTTTTGTATATTTCTTGATTTATTAATTATTATGTATTTTTTAATCAATCTTATATAACTTATATAGGTTTATCACATTTTTTTAAATGGCAGAATCAAATTCAACTACCTTATTTTCTAGGAAAGTATTTAATTAAGAAAATAACAGATTTTGGATGAGTACTTCGAAAGTTATTATCATTTTTATAATTAGACTAAAGAAGAAGTGTGCCCGAGAAGTGTGTAATGAAAAATATTCTCAGCCTTCGCCTTACCTTAAGTGTCAATTTCAAAATAATAATAATTTTCAAAATAATCACTCAATAGTTGTTCGTAACCAGGCACTTTTTATTTTATAAGCTGGTCAAATATGTATGTTACCGTTTAAAAAAATAAAATTAACCCCGTAATAACGTGTATCTATCGATGGACTGAAAAAGTACTCAATAATTGATACATTAAGATATTTATTAAATTAAAAGAACAAAAATTATTTTATTAACAAGAGTATATTTTTAAGAGAAATAAGAAACGTCGCAAATGTTAAAAGAATCATTTCATATATTGTCAAAAAAAATATTTTTAGGGCAGCGAATAAATTAATTTAGCAGACCCAAAATTTTTATTTTAGTTGCCCCTATGACAATGACAATAATTTATAATGAATTTGAATGTGTAGAAGATTATGAATATATATATTTTAATAAAATCATGATTTAAAGTTCTACATGATACTCATTACAGCTTTATTGTAATCATACAACTTGTCAACATATCGTAGACCACTCTGTATATGTTTTTGGTATAAGTAAATTTGTGATATTTTTTTAAACGTTTATTACAATAAACAGATTAGTAGATAAACTTCAAAACAACGTTAAATTATACTAATTATACGACTGTACAAATTTTATGTCGTTTTGTATTTTTTCTACTAATCTGTTTATCGTAATAAACGTTTAAAAAATATCAAAAATTTACCTATACCAAAAACGTATACAGAGTAAGTCTACAATATGTTGACAAATCTAATAACTTTTGATTCGACAAATACATTGCGTTATTTCTTTTTTAAATGAGTATTACAGTTTTGGATTATGTTAAAAGAATATTTTTTATTTTAAAACAGCTTTCTTATAAAAAATGTTAAATATACAAATTTTTTGTAACAAAAGGCTAAAGAATGGTTAATATAAGATTTAGAAAAAATTATGTACCCTATACATGGACGCCGAAACAATGGGGGCAACTGCCCCCACGGGAAAAATTCTGTGAGGGCATAGCCTTCACGGACAGTTCCCTTCCTCTGTATTTGTAGCTGTGCTCAGCCCCCACGGTTCAAAAATTGTTCCAGCGCCACTGACTCTATAAATGTTTGCTATATTTTTTCAACGTAAAAATATAGAAATCCTTTAATTCTTTTGTGAATGCTAAAATTTTTAAGTTGAAAATATTACAGTTTTAAATAATAAAATATCATATTATTAAAATTAATTAAGTTTCAGTAGTGTAACTGTAAACAAATCTGCAAAAACAATAAAACTTCAAGATCAACGAGTAAATTATAACATTTTATAATAATCTTTTATAAATTCAATAAAGATATTTATACAAAAAGGGCATTTTTAAATGTAAATTTAAAAAAATAAAATTTTTTTTACATATTATGTTTATACAAAAAAAAAACGAATATTCTTAGTATAGCTTAATTTAAACACAACTAAATTAATTCATAATAATTAGTAATTGGTATATATTTTGGTCAAATTTTAACAACGAATTGTTTAAATGAACTTATATTTAGGTACCAAGTTAATTAAGTAGTTTTAAAAAAATGATTAAATTAGTACTCTTAATTATTGATACTGATCTTCCTTGGACTTTATTTTTTAACGCACAAGATGTTTGTGTATAGATGCTGCGTGTGCTTGCATAGCGGTTTTTTGTTTAAAAGTTTTGAAACAACAAGGACATTTAAATAGCCTGGTGTCCCCACATTCATATTTTATGTGTCTATTTAGATTATTCATAGCTTTGTAACTCTTTCCACAGCTGTTAGGACAAAAGTACCGTTGAATTTTCATATGATTCTCAGTATGTCCTAAAATAGAATTATAAAAAGAATATATTAAAATAAATTTTAAATTGATTGAATTTATATGATTTACCATACGTCTCAGTAAGAAACCCTTTGATATTTATACAATTCATATCTGAAAGATATTAAATAAGTAATTATTAGCAATAAGAAAAAAATCAAGGTTTGATATGAAGGTTAAATAAAGTATCAGTCATTCATAATAAGAATTAAAGCACCTTACGTATATAGTATATCTTAAGTTTTAGTTCTGAACGTCTCTTTCACTAATTAAAATCAGAAATAGATAATTATGAAATGAAAATATTTGTAATGATTCTACAATTATTCAAAAAATACTCCCTTGTGAAGTAATCTCTAAGTGATGTTATAACTTAGTCGCATTTTACTAGTTTAATAAAGTATTATGCAGTGGGCCTAGATCCCAATCAATTCAATTATTTTTAATTTTTTAACATTTATATTACTTTCTACGTAATAAGTTCTTTTAAATTATTTGTGTTTTTAATTAGTGTTATAGTTTTAATGAAGTTATTATGTGTTAATAATTATTCAGCCACAGAAGATTTACTATCAACCTATTTCTTTCTTACATAAAAAATTATTTAATTGAAATACCTAATTTTTATTGAATGATAAAATATAAAAATATTACAATGCGCTCATTCTTGAGTACATTAAAAAGGATACGAAAGACTTTGGAAAGAATTATTTGATTATTAATTTTACAATCGAATTAAAACAAAGTTTTTAATGACTATTAAAAATTATAAAATAGATAATAGCATATAGAGAAACAACTTATATTTTTATTCAAATAAAATCTATAACATGTTTTGATATGATAATAATTAACGTTAAAACGTATTAAACTAAGAATTGTTACAAATTTAAAAAATATAAAATTCTATTCTAAATTTTTTTTTACAGAATATTTGTGTGTTAATTCAACTCATTTAAATTTCATACTTATATTTATATAAAACATATAATGTAAAAAAACTGAAATTCTTGTAACAAAAGAAATACTATTGTATCTATAAATATATTTTGTATCTAAAAAAAGGTGATTAAACTAAGTTATGCATATTCAATGAATATTTTTTCTTCCTCCAATTGTCTGTAAATCGTTTATGATATTTAAACTTTTTTTCTTAACCACATCTTTACAACAACAAATGTTTTCTCAAACTTGCTTTTTGATAAACTCTTTTATAATATCGACCACAATCATTTGCGCTTAAAGATATCATACACTTAAACTTCTCATCATTTTCCAGTTTATCTTCTAAATAAAAAAAAAAAAAATTCATCTAAGTCTTTGTAATTAAAAACATAATATAGTTTAATACTATCGCTCAAAATATTTTCATTGTAAAGGAACTATAACGTGTATATTTTTTAACATCTAAAATTTTTAAACACTTTACCTATTACATCTTAATAAAAAAAAAATGGTATTAATCGTTATTTTCAAAGGGGACCGCAGTTAAATAGACTTACAATAATTTTAAAAATAATTTAACTAAGGATTAAAGTTTATAAAATATGCGTATTAGTATACATTTTCAAAAAAAATTGCAGTACAATCAAAATAAATAATCAATAAAAATAAAAAGTTCACGTGAAAAAAAAGTATTTTTATGAGTTTTATTACTTTAAATTAAGTAATTATAGCAAATAAATATGTTTTTAATATAGGCATAAATGGTAAAAATTATAAGAAGTTCTTGTGTTTTAAGAAATGATAAATTCAATAGGGATTTGGTCAAAATTATATAATTTTTACGATTCGGGGTTTTATTTTCGTTCAATAAATATAATGCGTTAGAGACACATTATTCTATAAATAATCAAGTTTATATAGGAATCATTTAAAGCCTGTAACAATACAAAATTTTACATTATTGGATTGGTAATACTAAACAAAAATTTAAATGTAATTACATATTATTAGTCATATAAATTGTTTATAGAACTAAAAATGTTGCCGAATAGTTGTCAAATTGAAGCCATAATTTTTTTAAAATAATTTAAGATCACGGAATATTTTTTGAAAAATTTAGCTATTTAAAGTTTTTAAAATGTAAACAATAAAAAAATTATAAGTGTAAAATAAAATATGAATTTCAATCCTTAACTTCAATTATTTCAGAATTAATTTTTGTCATTTAGATCTTTTCTGTTCTAAGTGCCAGACGCGCCCTGTACATTAATCAGAATCCCAACCTGTTTTGACAAACAGGATAGGAACGAAATATCACTTTTTGCAAATAAATGGTTTTTGGAACATTTTTTTATGTCTAGTAAATAAGTTTCAATAATATGTATATTTATTTATTTTGTTGAGAAAATAATGACAGAAACTAAAAATATTATTAAACGGTCTTTAAAACATATTTGTGTTTACATAAACATATTTTAGATGCACATACACCAGTACGAGTTGTACGCACAGATCAGTGTAAAATACTTGTAATTCAATAAATATTTATTCTTAAATTCTTAACAATCTATTATAAATTTTCGTAAGAAAATATTTTGAAATTTGAAAAAAATAATTTTTTATATATTTTTCTTATTAATGAAAAATATACTTTTAACGTAGTCCAAAACTGTAAAATTATTTAAAAATAAAAGTAAAAAATATATATAGTCGATCAAAAGTTTTAGAATTTATCAGAAACACTGGAACAGAATGTAAATCCTCTATTTTACCCAAGAAAACTACACTTTACAAGGATAATTGTATAAATACATATTTTATTTAAAAAATCTTTAATTCTTCTTCTTCGCCTTAAGTATCTTTAATTATTTTTTTAATTTTTAAATTATGGTATATGGAGTGCCTCAAGCCATATGATGCTTACCCCGGCATCTGAAAAACTAAATAAAGATCAATTGGAGTGTGGATATAGATCATTGGTTCTCACACTACGTTAATTGAAGCCAAAGGGGTCGCCTACAGGAAACAGAAAATGTGCGAGTCAGGTAATAATAAGTAAATTAACTATTGAGAATAAAAATAACTATATGCAGTTATAACAGACTATATTAAATAAAACAATAGTAATAAATAATAATATATTTAAGTAAATTAACTGCAATAATAGTTTGCGATAATTCAATATTAATTGTACCTTTGACACATTCAAATAATTTAATTGCCATTTTGTCACAATTAATATAAAATAAAAAAAATATGTAGAAAAACATGAAAAAATAAAAATAATATGTTTTAACAGTTTTATGACTATTAATACTAAGGTGAGATGACTAGAATTAGATGATGATTAATGGCCAATCTGAATATTAACACTTATGTAATAATTCAATTTAAAAACTCCTTATATATTTTGCTTATAAATTTAAATACATAGATAAAATACTAAAAAACTCACAGTACCGCTGATATGTGCGTACATAGACCAGCTGCAAGAACACCTAAAACTATATAAACAATAAATTTAACTAAACTTAAAACAATATATAATCAATTTTAAAAATATAATTATAACTAAATAAAATAAATAGGAATTTAAATTTATAGTAGATATCTACTTAAAAATTACTTAACAAAAAGATATACATACACATCTCACTCAATGTTAAACATACACTGACTTATTTACAACTTAAAAACTATCTTAACCTATTTTACAGTGGGAGAGTGCGTGTGAAAGGCCATGTGACCGGTCTAGGTATAGGTGCAGGCTTCGCGCATAGAGCGCGGCACACGACTTAAGCCTCTACAGGTATTAATTATATTGTTTTTGAGTAGCATTTATTTGAAGTAAAGTTTTTAAAATTCAGTTAATAATTAAAGAATATCATAATATAATATTTATTGATATTAAATTATGGCAACTAATTGGAACAATCTATTAACCCTTTAACAGTCGCGTGGGGGTCTAGTATACCCCCACATAAATAAAAACGGATGTATTATATTGCATAAAAGGTGTACATAGATATAAATTTAGAAGATGGTTTTTATAGTAATATTGAATAGATTTTCATAAATAAATACTTTCGAAAAAAAAATGTATGACTTAAAAATATCCATCAAAGTTGAAATGGGTCATATTGACCCCCACGCGATTATGAACGTTATAATTTTTTTTTGGACTTGTATTTTTTTCAAAATATCGTTTTATCGTAAATGCAATGTTATAATCGATATAATATTGTGGAATTGGGATTATATGGATCTGCCACCTTCTGTGCAATTAAGTTTTAAAAATAAATAATCTATTGAGAATTTCCACTACTCGATAATACGGAACAAATACGAACAAAACATGTAATAAATACATCCCGTCGCAATGTGGACACATTGATTATCGGTGCCTCATTTACAATTACCACTATTCACATTTACCCCTCTTGACCCTACTCGTATTATAATAATTAAATTGTATTGTAATATTAATAATAAAAAAATTCAATTCAGAAAAATGATTATGTAAATGTAAATACACATAAAACTAGTAAATATAAGCCATGTTTGAGCTCAAAGAAATACAAGAAAAATTAATAAAAATACATTTTGTAATAGTAAAAGCTTTTATTTACCATCTTAAAAATAAGATTTTGCAGTTAAAATAATTTTTTTACAAACCAAAATTTTTTAATGAAATTTTGAAAATTAAGTTTTTTTTTTCCTAATATAATTTTTAGTAATGCACATAATTTTGTCATTTATTTATTTTTTAATTTTAATTTTTTAATTGTTATCCATATTTATATATCATATGGTAACAAATGATGTCTTTGAATTTAAAAAAATGAACTTTTTTATACATATTTTATACTTTTTTAGAAATGGGGTCTAATAGACCCCCACGCGACTATGAACGTTAAAAATAGGTACACGCCTGCTTAAGGGTTAAGAGATATAAGTATTATTGTATGTCGAATCGTTAATGATACATAATAAAATATATCCATATTAATAATATAATATTAAGGCTGAAACATCAACACATTAAAAAGTTAGAATGTTAAGTTTTAATTCAATTAATTTAGGTAGCTGATTAATTTCTGTGGGATTGTACTGTTAACTTGTTATTTTTTTAACTAGAATAGAAAACTAACTTAAAATCAATCATATCAAACTAAAATAAAGTTAATTTTTTTCTAGTATCTATTACTAGACGAAGTTAAAAATATTTATGAAATAATGCTTCATTTTACTTACTATTTTCAAAATTGATAGATAATAAAATTTTTAATATAAAATTCAACAAGGTAGTTTTATATAACAAGTTCAGTCACGCATTTTATATAAGTATACACTGTATAACTGAGAAGATAATCAACTTTTTGGTAATAGTACATAGTACATATTTCATATTTTGAAAGTTCATAACTTTTATAAAATAAAAAAGTTTCAATATTAAATATTAAATGTGTATATATCGATTGGTGCAACTAGAATACAATTTCTTCGTCTAGGAAGGGGATAAGCTTCATATTTGTGTCAATACACTTATCTTGATAATAAAATAAATACTCGGAGAAGTTATTTTTTCTGTGAAATACTATACATAATGGATTTCGCTATTTACATAGCTACTTGGATAAATTACTTTAAACTACAACAAATCGTTAATTATTTTGATTCCCTTTTTAGTGATAATTGCATTATTAAGTAAATAAAGACAGGTGATCTTCACAGCCCATTAGAATTGATGTTCGAGGATGATTTATTAAAAACATACTCTAGCAAATTTATATGCCAGTAATGATATAATCATTACTTATGTATTAGTATTTTCAAAAATATTGAGCCAAAATAAATTTTGGCTATAGAATAAAATTTAGATTATTTTTTTCACTATAGACAAAATATTTGCTAAAACATGAATATTGTATCAAGTAAAAATATATCATACCTGAAATAATTGAATTTAAAATTCTTATGAATATTAATAATAATTCTTATAATTTTCAACAACCTATTGTTAGCAAATGTTTTTAATATAAGTTATTCTTTTTAATAAGACTTTAATAAGACAATTTTAATATGAAATAACAACAATAAATTTTAATATTACATCCATAACACAAAATCGTTTTTGGATGTTTTGCAGTATTTTTTACAATTCAATATATATTTTAATGTTTATAATACCATAAACGTTCCTGAAATGACCGATAACAAATATTATTATTTTATTTTTCGATTATTTTATGGACAAAAATGCAATGTTTCTTCAAATCATATCTTTGGGCAAACTTTTTCCAACAGTAATAACATTGGAACTTTCTAGGTACACCACATTCATTGTTAAGATGTCTTCTCAGATTTCCTTTTCGTCTTAATCCCTTATAACAACGTCCACATCTATTTGGGCAATACACTGGATCTGGTAGACTTTTATCTAAAAAAAATGATATTAGATCTTCGTTTAATAAATTAAACAATTAAAAACTTTAAAAGATAATTAAGCGATTTCTGGTATATTATCTAGTATGAAATACACTAATATTAAGTAAAAATTATTTTGTTTAATTGATAATATTGCTGGCAATTTTTTCACACATAACCATTAATTAAAAACTTTAGAAAAATAGTGATTTTAAAGATAACATTGGAAGAAGAGTAGTAAAACATTATTCTGTAACATAAAATTTTAAATTAAATTTCATTTTTAAATTGAAATGATAATGAAATTCGAATAATTTGATCCATGTGTAAAGGTAACGAAACTAATGATCTAAGATATATTTTAGATTAGGACATCGTCTAGAGTTCAATGTAGAATATGTTTGTGAAAAGGAGGTAATGTTATTTAAAGAGTTACTATATACATTTGTTATTACCAGTATCCGTTAAAGGTTATAAAATTGAGCATACTAATTTTTTCATAAATAGATCCTACTATTACTATACTTAATATATATATTATTCATGTTAGTTAATTTTTATTTAATTTATATAAGAATATTCTTTGATAATCAGGTATGAAAAAATTGTAAAAAAATCGATGTATAATAAGAAAATTAAATAGAAAAAAATATATTAACTTAAAAAATTCATTTAAAAAAATATCTGAAAATTTTTTATCTTAAAGTACATTATATGGTCTTTAATTTATTGTTGGTTTGATAAAGACAGTTTTTTAAAAATTTTCAAAAATTTTGATGTGATGAGTATGTTTTCTCTGAGTACATTAATTAATGATTAGATTTTCAATAAAATGAAAGATATCTAATATATATAAATTAGTGTTAGTAATGCATTAAACCATAACTGATAACCAATGAATAAATTAGTTTCCCTAACCAATAAACGTAACAATACAGGAAATTAAATTTGAAATTAATAATAAAATAATTGGTAATGGTTATCTAGTATAATTATTATATTTGGCATAATTAACTAAATTTTTAGATTTTTTTTAACCTAATAAGCGTTTTCAGAAGAATAAAAATAAAATCAGTTATAACATATTTTTAAGACTTTTACATGTTTTTTACTGTGTGTAGTAATTTTGCGAGTTATTTATTAAAGAAACGCCATTGACGCTACTATTTTTGAATTTCTTGTAAAATTTCCTTAACGTGAGTTTTACTTTCATAATTCTAAGCTAAACAAAAAAAAAAAAGGTATAAGACATATATAAGTTATTTCTATTATAAATGCCTAATAAATATTATTTCTCATAAAAAAATTGTGTTGATTGATACACTTTTCAATAAGTTATAACATTATAAAGTTAAAAATGTAAAAAATAAAATCGAGGATTTTACACAGAAATAGCATTTTTTTTTTCCATAATAAAGTATATTACATTAGCTTTAATTTAAGATATATATAAAAGTGTCAGACTTTCCGGAACAATTTCAAATGTTAAGATGAAAAAGATGTCATTTTAAATCCCCCCCTGTGGGCAGGTAAAGGGTCAAATTTATAAAAAAATATATCAAATAATTGGTAAAAATTCATGCATCTATAAAAAAAAGAATTATATTGATCCATACATCTTTCAAAAAGTTATAGCATTATAAAGTTAAAAAAAACCCAGCACAGGGGGTTTGCCGCACAGTGGTGACGTGGTATAGATGGATCAAGTATAATGATATCTGACAGTGATTAAAATCACTATAAAAAAAAAACGCTTCGATGCAAATCTTTAGATACTGTTTAATTTTAAAAAATTGGTGGACTATTCCAAAAGTTACATGATCTGCTAGTAAGAGGGATTATTAAAAAATATTATTTCTCATAAAAAAATAATGTTGATCCATACACTTTTCAATAAGTTATAGCATAATAAAGTTAAAAATGTAAAACATAAAATCGAGAATTTTCACACAATAATAGCATTCGGTAGCCATTTTCACCGTGAAGATAAAATAAAGTCCGAAATTTTTTTTTCGCATAATAAAGTAAATTACATTAGCTATAATTTAAGATATATATAAAAGTGTCAGACTTTCCGGAACACTTTCAAAATTTAAGTTGAAAAAGTAAATTTTTTGT